TGTTTTCCATATCTGTAATAACAGAACCTACTGCATTGTTTTTTAAGGAATACATGTATTAATTTATGTAAAACATTTAAAACAGTGCCAGACACCCAGTAAGAATTATATATTGTCAGCTAAACCGTTATTACAAAGTTTTATTTTTCCTATCTATATAGTTGAAAAAAAATAAAGTTCAGAAAAATTGAGTAACTTATTGAAGGTTATGGGAAGAGTTTAATTTTAAGTCAGATATTCTAAATTCAAATCTTGATTTATTTTGCCATACTATAGCTTTTCCCTCTCCCATCTCCAATCATATTGTCTTCTATTCAACATATGCCTAAAAAGTATTCAAGTGACCAGGCATGGTTGCTCACGCCTATAATCCCAACACTTTGGGAGGCCAATGCGGGAGGATTGCTTGAGTGCGGGAGTTTGAAACCAGCTTGGGCAACATAGCGAAACCTCATCTCTATAAAAAATTTGAAAAATTAGCTGGGCATAGTAGCATATGCTTGTAGTCCTGGTTGAGATGAGAGGATCACATGAGCACAGGTGGTTGAGGCTGCAGTGAGCCATGACTGCACCACTGCACTCCAGCTTAGGCAACACAGTGAGACCCTGTCAACCAATCAATCAATCAATGAAGTATCCAATCATACACACCAGGCATTGTGCTAGCTGTGAGAATAAACAAGATGAAAAAATACATAAGCTCTGCCTTCAAATAACTCATAGACCATTAGGAGAAAAAAACATGGAGCCAGGTAACTTAAATCAATGTTGCAAGGCCAATGACAGAGAGGAGCACAGGAAATCCGAAGACCATACACCTAGGGAAGGAAAGGGCCTCTGAGAAGTCTTCCTAGATGAGCTGACACTTATTTCAATCTCAACAGACCTGCATGGTAGTCAGGAAAGAAAAAGGATGTGTAGAACATAGCAGGGATCCTCAAACTTTACAAACACCAGGAAAGCTTGTGAAAACAAATGCTAAGTCCTACCCCAGTTTCTGAGGCTTAATAATTTGCTTTTTTCTTTGACAAAATTCAATAGCCCTTCATGCTAAAAACCTCTCAATAAATTTGGTATTGATGGAACGTATCTCAAATAATAAGAGCTATTTATGGCAAACCACAGCCAATATCATACTGAATGGGCAAAAACTGGAAGCATTCCCTTTGAAAACTGGCACAAGACAGGGATGCCCTCTCTCACCACTCCTATCCAACATAGTGTTGGAAGTTCCTGCTAGGGCAATCAGCAAGAGAAGAAATAAAGGGTATTCAGTTAGGAAAAGAAGAAGTAAACTGTCCCTGTTTGCAGATGACATGATTGTATTCTTAGAAACCCCATCGTCTCAGCCCAAAATCTCCTTAAAGCTGATAAGCAACTTCAGCAAAGTCTCAGGATACAAAATCAATGTGCAAAATCACAAGCATTTTATACAACCGTAACAGACAAACGAGAGCCAAATCATGAATGAACTCCCATTCACAATAGCTTCAAAGAGAATAAAATACCTAGGAATCCAACTTACAAGGGATGTAAAGGACCTCTTCAAGGAGAACTACAAACCACTGCTCAGTGAAATAAAAGAGGACACAAACAAATGAAAGAACATACCATGCTCATGGATAGGAAGAATCAATATCGTGAAAATGGCCATACTGCCCAAGGTAATTTATAGATTCAATGCATTCCTGTTAAGCTACCAATGACTTTCTTCACAGAATTGAAAAAAACTGGTTTAAAGTTCATATGGAACCAAAAAAGAGCCCCGCATTGCCAAGGACAATCCTAAGTCAAAAGAACAAAGCTGGAGGCATCACGCTACCTGACTTCACTATACTACAAGGCTACAGTAACCAAAACAGCATAGTACTGGTACCAAAACAGAGATATAGACCAAGAACAGACAGAGCCCTCAGAATAATACCACACAGCAAAGCCATCAGTCTTTGACAACCTGACAAAACAAGAAATGGGAAAGGATTCCCTATTTAATAAATGGTGCTGGGGAATGCTAGAAAGTAGCTGAAATGGATCCTTTCCTTCCTCCTTATTACGAAAATTAATTCAAGATGGATTAGAGACTTAAATGCTAGACCTAAAAACCATAAAACCACAGAAGAAACCTAGGTAAGGACATAGGCATGGGCAAGGACTTCATGTTAAACACCAAAAGCATGTGGAACAAAAGCCAAAATTGACAAATGGGATATATCAACTAAAGAGGCTTCTGCACAGCAAAAGAAACTCCATTAGAGTGAACAGGAACTACGAAGGGGGGAAAGAAAATTTTGCAATCTACTCATCTGACAAAGGGTATCCAGAACCCAATACAAAGAACTCAAACAAATTTACAGAAAAAACAACAACCATCAAAAGTGGGCAAAGGGATATAACAGACCTTCTCAAAAGAAGATTCATATAGCCAACAGACACATGAAAAAATGCTCATCATCACTCCCATCAGAGAAATGCAAATCAAAACCACAATGAGATACCATTCCACACCAGGTTAGAATGGCAATATTAAAAAGTCAGGAAACAACAGGTGCTGGAGAGGATGTGGGAGAAATAGGAAACACTTTGTACACTTTGGGGACTGTAAACTAGTTCAACATTGTGGAAAACAGTGTGGGCGATTCCTCAAGGATCTACAACTAAGAAATACATTTGACCCGCCATCCCATTACTGGGATATACCCAAGGCTTATAAATTGTGCTGCTATAAAGACACTGCACACATATGTTTTATTGCAGCACTATTCACAATAGCAAGGACTTGGAATCAACCCAAATGTACATGAGTGACAGACTGGATTAAGAAAATGTGGACATACACACCATGAATACTATGCAGCCATAAAAAAGGATGAGTTCGTGTCCTTTGTAGGGACATGGATGCAGCTGGAAACCATCATTCTCAGCAACTATCCGCAAGAACAGAAACCAAAAAAACAAGCTGTTAATGGTGGGAACTGAACAGTGAGATCACTTGGACACAGGAAGGGGAACATCACACTCTGGGGCCTATTATGGGGAGGGGGAAAGGGGGAGGGATGGCATTAGAAGATATACCTAATATAAATGACAATTTAATGGGTGCAACACACCAACATGGCACATGTATACAAATGTAACAAACCTGCACGTTGTGCACATGTACCCTAGAACTTAAAGAATAATAAAATAATAATAATAATAATAATTTGCATTTTTAATGAGTTCCTCGACACAGGTCAAAACAAAAGAGTTGGCCAAAGATGAAGTAGGAAGTGTATAGGAGGTAGATTCTGAACAGAATTTCCTGCTGTGTTACGGAGACCCAGCTTCATTTATCCTGAAAGCTACTAGGAAGGGATAGAGTGAAGATTTTAGTCTGCTCAGATTTACCATGAAATAGGATGGCTTTTTTTTTTATTGCAACATGTAAAGCTGACAAGAGGAGGCAAATGTAGCAATAATCCTGGTAAGAAATGATGAGACTTGAAGGAAGGTATCCATAATGGGAACAGAGGGAAGAAAAGCTAATGAAGGGATTTATGCTACGTGATGGTAGACTTGCTGATTGATAAGCTAAGGAAGAAATGAGAGAGGAAAGTCAACTCTGGAAGACTAGATGGAAGGTGGTAACACTGTGATCTGAGCAACTCCTTCATCAACTAAGATGGACCCTAAGGTTAAGGAAACAAAGTTACCTATGGGGTAAGGGTTCAGGGCCAGCTGGCAAGGCAAATTTCTAAATTTCTACAGCTCTAAACACCCTAACAACAGGAACTATGAGATCCCTTCTATTCTGATTTACAACCCAGACAACTACGACTCTGACTGGACAGAGGGCTAGCCTTACATTCTTTTTTGATAAGTAACTGCAGACCTGAAACTAGTTTCAGCCAGTGTACAGAGGCTGCACACAAACTGTCTTCGTGTACTATAGTTCTAACATAAAGAACCAAATTCACCCTCATTTTAATGCTAAAACCTCACCCCAAAGTGAATATGAGATGTATGTTACATATGTTTACCCATTGCACATGCACTCTGCTCCCCTCATAAATATGTATAGCTTCTAGCCAAGCCTGCTGAATATGTACAACTCGACTGTATGATGCAGGCCTTGTGAGGCATAAAACCCAAACTGCCCTTCCCTTCTTTGAAGAGAGGAGCACATTCAGCACACACTAGAGGCTGTCTCTTCTTAGTTTGCAAATCATCATTAATGAAGCTATCCTTTCTAAAATTTAGCCATCTTGGTGGTCTTTTGGATGACATCACCAAGGAGAAAGAACAAAGCGGGAGGAAAAGTTCAAAGATTCCTCAAATAATACCACAGTGTGAGTGGAGCAGGGTTCTTCAGATGGGAAATATTTGAGCACATCTAAAATGCAGAGAAAGGTGGCCATAGAAAGAGAAGGATGAAGATATGGGAGAGCAAGGGAATGATTCAGAGGTTTCTAGCACAGGGCAGAATAAGGGAGTCAAATGCACCACGGAATGGCTGGGCTTTGAAGTGGAAGGTACCTCTGAGTTTGCCAGTACAGAGGCAGGAATGGGTGTGGATTTATATACATTTATAGATGAGGATGGTAAAGTGAGAGCTCAGGAATACACTAAATTTCTTGATGAAGACAGAAGAGAAGGATCCATCTGTTGAGGATGAAGAGAAGGGAAGCTGTGCAAACTGATATTCAGTTCCACACACTTCTCCGACAGCCAATCAGGAAGTTAACTATACTTTAACTATACTTCAGCTCTGGCATGTTGATGTTGTAAGAATGTTAATTTATTCCACTTAAATTGCATGACAAGCTTTAGTGTTCCTTAGTTTACTCCTCCCCCAGTCGTGCATTACCCCAGCTGTGGTCACAAGAACGCAAGACAATGTGAAAAAAATAAAATAAAATAAAAAAACTTTGTAAAATAACAAAGTATTGTTAATACCTTCAGGAACATAACCACAATTTAAATGTGAATTGCTTATAATTAAGCTACTGATTCTTTAATACCTTTTGCAGAGCCTCTTCTGTTTTTTCAGGGTTTGTTTTTAGGGCTTGAGAAGCATCATACATAGGAATTGGCATAAATCTTAATGTGTAGTTCCTAGAAAAAGGAGAAAGTAATATACTTATTTAAAAATAACTTCCTATTACCTTAATTAGTACTCTTTTTTAAAAAAAAAATCCAAAAGGATAGCTGTAAGAGTAGCTTAGAAAATTCCAAACCACCAGACCATTTAGACCACTAGATTGCAGATTATCCTTTGTAATAACCACAGGTCCAATACCACAGGCAACCACATTAATTCACACTACCTACAAAACTGACACAACTTTGAGGAATGCAGTTTTGTTGTTTTGCTTTTAGTTTTGGATTCCATCAAGGACAGAATTTTCACACTAGGATTGAAAAGATGAACAGAGGGCAAGCCTAGGGCAAGTCCAACATCAACTTGCTACATGGGTTTTAGTAACCAATAGACCTGACTGTACCTGGGTCCCCACAGTGATTATGTGTGACAACCAGCCCCAAACTGGTAGAAGGAAAAACAGAAATAAAAACAAAACATTTGCTTGCAAAGCAAGCCATTAGCGCCCACAAAATGGTCTGTTAAGTTTCTGGGCTCCATTAAATGATGAGGTTCAGCACACATAGGATTGGCTCTTTTAAAGCTGCTAGGAAAGGGTCTGCTGCCTGGCTAAACACTCTGACCTCTGCAGGTCCTTTCAGCTGGAGTTCAAGAGCTGCTGTCCACCAGGCTCTAGAAACCAAATGAAGCAACTGTTGATTGCTGTATATTATCCCATTGCTACTGGCAGGCCTATTAAACACAAACATGCAGGAGTGAGCCATTTTTGTGTGAGGAAAACACACAGAACTCTGAATCTGGTCCCTGGCCTTTGATCCCAACTCTGCTGCAAACTGCTATGTGCTGAAATGACCATTAACACCTGCTCACCTACCACAAACTCCAGTATTAGAGATGACTTCTGTCCTCCACCCCAAAATGCATCTGTCCATTTCTACAACACGGTGTTCAGGAAGAGATCAACTTCACCTTGGGCTACTTGGTAGCAACTGGGACATTAAAATTGCACAGTCAGCTGCCTTGTTTTAGGACTCTAAACTATCAGCAGCACTCACAGTGTGCTTCTGGGGCATATTTAGATGACATCTATTGGAAGAATAAATTAGCAACTAACTCCTAAAATAAGGTACTAATAAAGAATAAATAATAAAACCATCAACTTAATAGTAGCAGTCTAGATGGACTACTGAAAAAAAAAAAAATCACCCAGTCCAACTTATAAGGTAGCTTCATGTAAAATAATCAGACAAACAGAAAGTTGCAATTTCTATAGCTCTGATTTTTAACTTAGCTTTGTTTTAGCAAAATTGTTTTTGTTTGCCTTCAGAAAATCCAGCCAAATGAAACTAAGAGACAATATGTCTTTTTTATGGCCTTCACAAGTCTTCTTTCCCTCATCCAATTTTTATCATGTTACGGACCAGCATAGTTTATTTAAACCAAATGTGATTTTGAAGCATTGGCATCTTGGAGCAGAGGATACGTAATCGACTGTGATCAAGGGAGTCTGACAGTCTATCTGGAAATGTTGAGTATTGGTTGCCCATGCTCCTGGCTTCTTCCAAACACCAGCCTGGGCTGGCAGTCTACAACATCAGGGTGGCAACTGTGCTGTCAGCATCCAGATGCAGTGTAAATAAATGTCTCCATTTGGGGTTTTGTGGTACAACAGGAGTAACCATAGGGGGGTCTACAATCATGCAGTGGCAATGCTAAACTGATGGTCTAAGCTGCTTAACCCCTATTTAGTGATGGCCTGGGGTCAGTACAGAGAAGGCGCTGAGAGATGAGTCTCTGTGATTTTGTAGTGGCAGTAACTTTAAACTCCTGGCTGAAGTAGAGCCACAGGATTTAGAAATGGAAGGGACTTGGAGATCATTTATCCTAATCCTCTCACTTCATGAAAAAAGAATTAATCAGAGAGATTAAATGACTTGATCAAGATCATAGGTTTGTGGGTGACAGAACTGAAGACTGAATGAAGGACTCCTGATTCCTAGTCTAGGGTTGTACCACAATACCATGTCAGGCATGAGAGGCCCTCCTGGGAGGCCTCATATATACAAGGAATCTGAAAAAACACAAAATAATGAGCATTTCCTCCCCTTTCCCAGGGAAACGGCTTCTATGCTATCGGCCCCTTATTTTTCACCCATATTTTATAGCCTCTCATTTTTAATGGTATAAATCTGCTTTGTTCACTTCTGCCTTATAAGGTACAATATGAGGACTGAAAAGCCCAGAAAGAACCACATTCCTAGTTTTACTTTCAACTAGGTCTAGTATTCTTTTCTCATTTAGTTTACTGGGAATGTAAATTCAACAATAAATAATAACTGCAGGCTTTAGTTACTGAAGTAATGAAGAAAGTCTTTCACAGTAATGACACAACCTAGCCCTGGGCTTACCATTTATCAACTTCACCTTTATTTTCTGGACCTCAGCTTTCTTCTCACCAGTGAATTCAAAGGTGTCACAATAGGCAAAAGAACAAGACCCAGTATAGATTGTGAAACCACAAAGGGGAAAGGAAACAAGGCAAGTGTCACACAGCCCCTTGTTTAATTTTCACGACAGTGTGGTGTTTTTAGCAGAACAGGCATCTGTGCCCTCATTTCATACATAAGGAAACTCCCACCAGGGAAAATTCAATGTCTTCCAAGATCCCATAGCTGGTTAGCTGTAGACTAAATTCAGACCCAGATCTTCTGATCCCCAATAAACAGTTGCTTCTGTTACCCCACAGATAATACATATACCATTGGTTTTGTTTTTTTATTTTCCTAGAAAGAAATCCTAATTCAAACTTACTTTTCCATAGCAACAGCTATATCCTGAAAGCCTTGTGCAGTGATGTTGTTCTTGTCCCATATTACAGTCCTGTTTGAAAACCAAATCACATAAATGATCAGACACTTAGAGAAAATGATTCTCACATTGAATATAAACCTCTTATAGACAGCGCTGTCTAGATATTTCAGAACAGCCACATTATATGAGCAAGGAATAATGTTCATCTTCATTTCTAACAAAACAAGGATAAGCATTTCCCCCAATATTATATTCGTAACACATTTACCATGCAAGTAGTGTGGAAAAACTGTACTTAAAAGCAATAGCACATATATTAACTTACTATTATGTTATCTAACTTTCACTAGACAGAAAACTCTAAATTCCAGTATTTCTCTGATATTCTCCCAATAATATTCTCATATTTATGTCTGAGGTGGAAGCTATTTACAAAACATGCTAACCAGTTCCATGCCCAATATAAAGAATTTCAGCTACTGAGATTTTCCCCCGCAAACAGTAAAACACTAGGGTTTCTAAAACACTAGAGAGAATCTGTCATAGTTCCTTGTGTTTTCATTACTTCCCTCACATGGCTTAATTAGTAATCCTAGGAATTTCCTCACTCTGCTGGCAAAACATCAGTTACTATAAACGGGTAATGTTACTGATGTTACCTGTTTATAGTTTGCTTATAGTTTTGTTTGCTTTTTAAACACAAAATGTATTTGGAGAGAAAAATACTACTTTACCTTCAGAATGTGTATACTTCAGAGATATTTAGGATTTGTCAGTTCACCCTGACACATAAAATAGCTTTTATTTGTCTGGATGATCCCAGCCTCACAACTTTCACTGCCTTCCCTTCCTAATCTCGATGACCTTCTTTACACACATACTGACCTTCAAAGAAACTGCTGCAGATTTTGACTTTTGGCTTCAGTTTAGACAGAAAACTCAGACTTTTATGCCAGAGAATAGAAAAACTTCATAAAAGAGCCCTTGAGGAGCAATGTGAATTAACTCTTCATTCACCAGACTGTTGACCTAGGTAGAAACTCCAATCTCTCTGAATGATGGATGGCAACGAGTTAACAGTGGATCTAGTCCTTGAGAAAAGCCACACTTAGGAAACATGGAATAAAACTGCTAAAGAGAACAGCTAGCACCCAGTGTGAGCCTGGTTTTGAACCAGCAGACCTTTCGTGCCCCCTGTTTCTAAGTCTTTATATTGGCAGGGATGAGCAAGGGGGTTAAGACCTTGCGCTCACAGCAAAGCATGGGCTCTGCTCACTTAGTGCTGCCTACAAAACCATCGTAGCTTTTCACTGCCTTTACCCACACACTGGTCAGCTATCAACACTGATGTGAAATAGGAAATCGTGGCAGTTCTCAGTCAGGTTCTACCTTTACAATAGAACTATAAGACAACAGACCGAAAGAATCACGATGTCTAAATTTGGGAACACCCTCCTCATTATTCTGACAGAAGTCTTGACATTGTCACCTGTTCTCAGCTGGCCTCATGGGAAGCTCAGGTCCCCTTGGCCCCAGCGGCTCCGCAATGCTTGATGTTCAGAATCTGCTCCAAGCCTTCCTCATGAGCAGGGAGGGCAGGATCTCCCTACCTGAGCTTAGTGTTGATCTGCAGTGCTTTGGCCAGCATCTTCGCTCCCATGTCCCCCATTCCGTTCCCGCTAATGTCCACTTTGGTCAGGGAGGTGTTGCTTCCCAGGGCATTGATGATGATGGTGACTTCAGTCTTGAGTTTCGAGTCAGCCAGGGACAAGGACTGCAGAGGCTGTGGAGCAAACAACATGCGGCACTCAGCAGTCTCATCAAAGCAGCATCCGCTCTCCACGATACATCTCGTGGAGAGTAACAGGGGATGGACCCACTGCACGTGTCTGATTTTAGAACTGCTACCTAAAAGACACTCATGGATAGAAACTGAAGGTTCTGGCACAAAATGGACCACTGGAGTCAAAGATGGAGAACTTGTGTTTTAATGCTGAATACCTACCACTCCTCTCTTAAGGGAAGCCAGGGAAAGACAAGTAGGCTGACAAATGCCAGCTTTAAGCAGAGGATAGGATGAAATTAAAAAAAAAAAAAAACCATAACATAAAAATTTCTCGGCTTTAATATGATCACCCTTTATACCCATTTTATTTTTATACAAGGTGAAATGATACCTTAAAATACTAATAGAGGGCAAATGCAAGATAAAAGCCAGCCAGGATTAATAATAGCTTACAATTATTGAACAATTACTATGTTTAACCACCATTTAAGCTTTTCATGTGTATTAATTCACTTAATCTTCCCACTAACCCATTACTTAGATGCTACTGTTATCCCATTTCCCAAACCAACAAACAGAAAAGTTAGGTGACTCAACCAAGGTTACATTGTTAAAAAGGACCTGAACTAGGATTCAAACCCAGATGTACTGGTTCCAGATTTCATGCTCCTAACCTTATACCACATCTCCCTATTAGCTTATTGCAGATCTTTTTGATCATCACCCTTTAATTTTATCTTTTTTTTTGAGACAGAGTCTCGCTTTGTGAGGAATGCACAGGCTGGAGTGCAGTGGCACAATCACCACTCACTGCAGCCTTGACCTCTTGGGCTCAAGCCATCCTCCCCACTCAGCCTCCCAAGTAGCTGGAACTACAGGTGCGCGCCACCACGTTTGGCTCATTTTGAAATATTTTTTTTGTAGAGACAGGGTATCACTATGTTGCCAAGGCTGGTCTCGAACTCCTAGGCTCAAATGATCCTCTCACCTTGGCTTCCTAAAGTGCTGGAATTACAGGCATGAGCCACCGCACCCAGCCTTAACTTTATCTGTTAAGTTTCAATCAGAAGATACATCTACAATTCTTTTTTTAAGTCAAACTTGTGTGTAGCCTTTTTTTTTTTTTTTTAGACAAGGTCTTGCTCTGTCCCCCAAGCTGGAGTGTTGCAATGGCATAATCTCGGCTAAATGCAACCTCCACCTCCCGGGTTCAAGCGATTCTCCTGCCTCAGCCTCCCAAGTAGCTGGGATTATAGGCACCTACCACCATGCCTGGCTAGTTTTTGTATTTTTAGTAGAGACAGGGTTTCACCATGTTGGCTAGGCTGGTCTCAAACTCCTGACCTCAAGTGATCCACCAGCCTCAGTCTCCCAAAGTGCTAGGATTAAAGACGTGAACCACCACACCAGGTCTTGTGTGACCTTTTTATTTGACCATAAGCTGTATGGTAAATCCAAACCAGCCCACTCATTGTCCATTTAAACCAGATATTGAAAGCCACTCAGCCTAAAGGCAGGTTTTGTTTGTCCTGCATGGTATCTGACCAAAATAATAATAATAATAATAATAAATTAATAGAGCTTCCTACTTACACCCAGCTCACTTTACTAGTTTATGTTGCCTTCCTAGCCCTGTGGGCATTTGAGTTTGCATTCCTTGATTAAGCCATAACTTACTGAAGTGGGGTAAGAATTCCAGGTTAACCAGGTTGAACCAATGTGGCTCTAAATGTCAGAACTCAGACTTCCCTGGGAGATCTGGATGTCTCCTGGGTTGCGTGGAGTGCTCTATATTGTCCTAGCCATACTAAACAAATTGTATGGTTATTGCATAAGCAGTCCCAACATTACAGGAAGTAGTGATAGAAGCAGCTTCTGCGGTAATCTATGACCAAGTTCCACAATGGCCTGGGGATTGGAGCTCTCAAGGTGTGCCTGGGTGGTCTACATGACAGCCCCCACACACAGCCTGGGGTTTATCTATGTCTACTCAACCACTTAACATTGACTTCCAAAGCAACATCTGTGAGAGGTTCATCTACCAAAGGGCTACAGGAGACAGAATGAGAGTGTTGATGGTTTCAAGACTCAGATATCAACAAAGCATTATTTTATGCATGTGGTTGGTACCAAGAGACAATATTATCGTCCTTATCATCCAAATTTTCCATGGCTTTCAAAGTTAATACATTTATGGTAAAATCAAAAGGTAATGCTGTATTAATCAGAATCAAATTTATAAAAGTTAAATGGCCTCATAAGTGCTAAGGCAATTAAAACCTGGGCCAAAAAGTCTGCATGCATTTAGACTCAAGTGGGTTTAGCCTGGTTTCTTCAATTTTCTTAACATCCTACATACAGGTAAGCAGAAATGACAACTAAAAATGCTTCAGGCTCAGGAAACTTACTGTTTTAAAGAAAAACAAACACAATATGCCTTAAAAAAGATGTAATCACATCTTTCATCATTTCAATAATCTTTAATATTGGAAAACTGCCAACTCTCTGAGCTATCAAGCATCAATTCTAGGACTATATTCAAATTCTAATACACCCCAGTTAATACTTAAAAATAATAGGTAGTCATTAATGTGAACAGAACAGCCTGAATTGCATGCATATTTATAAGGTCATCCCTTCTTGATTTATTGTACTTCCGTGTAACATTACTATTTGAAATCTTACTATTTCTTTTTCATAGCTGAACATGCTTAATCTGAGAATCTATTTCTTTTTCATAGCTGAACATGCTTAATCTCCTGGCTACAGGCACTCCCAGGAGAAACACATTCTGTTCTGCTGGTTACAATATGGGTTCATATGTATAATACTTCAGAACAAACTCCCTGTCATCTTGGCCCCTCTATGTTACTGTCCCATGACTCTGGGTACAGCAGCCTGAAAACCACTGTCTATAGATGAAGGTGACACTGGAATCCACCAGCATCTAGGTTTTTCAACTGAACATAATGTACAATACTGGGTGAATAAGGTATTCCATAGGCTTGTCAAAGAACAAGCTCTACTACAAACACCAGGTCAGAATGTAAAAAGCAAAGAGATTACTTTTTTAATAGGTAAAACTCATAAATAAATAAAACAAAAAATGATCCCAATTGTACCAAGTATCGAAAAAATTTTTATCATCACAAGACTCATCTCCTAATCATTTCAAATTGTTTTGCATATTACCGATTTAAAAGTAGAAAAAAATAGAAGGTAACTGCTTTCTGAAAAAGCCATCTACTTTTCAATGGCAGGAACATAAAAAGCTTTTCATTGTACAGCATTACGAGCAACACTCTATTCAAACTTCTAACTTGACAAAATTCACATTCATATAGCAAACTTCATCATCTGCAAATATGGTTTTAGGTATATTTTAACTATTATCTTTAAATAACAGACTTCCAGAATTATAGATGGTTTGAAGAACCTCACGTAATGACCAAAACATAAAATTTATATACTTTTAATAAAAATACAAATTTTCTTAAAGTATGTGTTAAGAAAAAAAAACATTTTGGGGTGAATATTAAGTATAATTACATAATATTAGCTTCTGTAATCTGTTAAAACTGGGCCAATACTGGAAAATCAGAAACTCAGACAAAGCAGAGTGATGCAAAGTCAAATTAAATATGTAAAGCAAACAGCATAAACTCTGAGAAGTCTAAATTACATTCTAATTATATCCCTAATTTCAATAACCCAGCATAAGAGCAACAAAATGTGGGGTTTATTAGCAAATGAGGGTAAGGAGAAGTGCTAAATTCATTAAATAATAATGAGATTCATTTTCTAGCCCACAGGTTGAAAATTACATGCACAATGAAGAGGAAACAGAACAGAATTTTCTCCTGCCCACCAGCTCAGAGCCCCGCCAAAGAAGTGGGGGCAACGGCAAGTGAGGAAGTGTCCAGTGTCCATCCCTCCTGGTCTCTTAGCTTTCACAGAAAAGTCAGCTTACAGCTGTAACAGAATTTGCTATTCCCTGGTATGAATTCAGAAGGGAAAATTACACTTTTTCAAAATGTGACATACTCCACATGATTAATATAAAAATCACCCTCATGACCTACAAAGGCAGCTATTACAAAACACGAATAATGTAACTCTTCATAGTAGGAATACAAACTGATCTGAGTTTTAGGAACTAGAAAAGCTGAGTCTGGTGACCAAATAGGACTTTGAGAGGAAAGGGACAAAATTGTAAAGAGCATCAGTAAACTATAAGGTGTAACACACCAGCTCTAAGTTAAATGGATTCATGGTAGAGTGCTTCTTACTTTGTCCATAAAATAACTTTTCTTTCTCGTAATCCATTTTAAAGGGCAGCAAAATAAAATACTATTTGAAATTAAACTTCTTTACCCTGAACTAAATTTTGGTCAGGAGCAACTAAAGGGAATTAAAAATACAGAGCGCTACTAGACTTCAAGCAGCAATTAAAGATGGAAGAAAACTTCCTTGGTCTCCTATAATGCCACATAATTATTAGATGAAATTCAAATTAGCAATATGATATTTCTCAGCATTATATAAGGTCATGAAGTCAACTAGATTGTAAAAATTCATGCCTGCAGATTAGATTATTAGCTAAAGTTAGGAAGTAGTAAGGCTAATTAAAAGATAGGCCCAGGAGTCAATTTATACTTCTTTCTATCTATTAGTGACAATCTTCCTTTAATTGACAGTGAGTTGAATGAAGTAAAAAAGTGAGTTTTTAAATACATTCTACAACTCTACTAAAGCATATTTATTCCATTTTTAAAAAGTAATGGAAAATGTACACATTGATAACACTATCTGAAAGGATTTCAGAATTAATCCAGTAGAAATAATCAGTAAGAATGGCAACAAACAGAAGATTTTAGTAAAAAATGTTTAACATAATACTCACTGATTCTTCATCTTGAATCATCTGTACTAAGTTGTCCAATACAGGTGTCAGATTTCTAAAGAGATTTTAGAGATGTGGACAGTGGAATCAAATCAAAAGCTTTCAGGAGGCTGGTTATTTTCATCATTGTCATATAAAAAAATTCAAAACTCTTACTTGGATTTCATATTATTAAAATTTTTGCCTAATGCCAGGTGTTGTATTGATCTGTTTTTACTGAGCCACACTATTAAGGTAGATAGGTCAGATTCTAAACCTGGAAAGAATCAGAGTAAATAAAGCATCAAAACACATGTGTATAAATTAATTCTCAACTGGAACACAATTAAGCAAAGGTGACATGTAGTTGGATGACTTCCTTTACCTTCCTGAGGGGCCTGGGATTCTAATCTTTCATTTTCAAAGGCACTCTTTGCTCTCTTTTCATGTCCTATTATTTCACAGGGATAAACTCATTCTCTACAAAGACTTATCTAAATCTGTTATACAATCAGTGGCTAAACCAAGTCAGCAGGAAATGGGATGAATAATGGCAGAAAGTTTCATCTCTCCCCACTACTCTGTTAGAGAAGATCCCAACAAACTGTTCACTAGGGGGTAAGTGGAGTTAAAGTTGTCTATGCAAATTTCACAGGTTCATACTAACATGATACTACAATCAGCAGAAATGAAGCTAATGAAATAAGCTTCTGAATAAATAAACAAGAGTACAATTTTGTTATCAGCAAGAATGCAAAAAGTTGGGCTCAGACCTTTTTCAATGTACTGGTGATATTTTTGTAACTGAGTTGTTTTACTGCATAGACTTTGCATAGTTGGCCACAGAATCAACTTAGTAAGACTCTGGCACAGTTTTATTCTACAAATAAATCCTATTGTTAAATTTAAAAGCCCTATTAGTTAAGAAATAAAATAACATTTTTATTAAGGTATGTCTGGATTTGGGTAGAAGATTATTTTCCCCTTATTAACTTGCTTCAAAAAATATTTCAGTTTCGTTTCTTTTCTGATACCTGACTTACCATTGTCGGAGATGTCTAAGCTGGTGATGTTGTGTATTTCAGCAATGCAACCTTCTAATACTTGAGCACCTCCTGATCTCAGCTAGAGAAACACAAACCAAACACAGAGTAAAGTCTTCACTCTACTGGAAGTGTAATCAAAATATTAAAAATAGGAGAGATAGTCAGTCTTAAAATAAACTTAGTACCAAAGAAAAAGTAAAAGCTTATCAACTCCAAAGAAGCCTATCACTAGCCACTGCTGCTGTAAAGAGCCTATCACTAGCCACTGCTGCTGTTTCCTGTGCCACGTGATCCCACGTTAAATCCTAAAACCATTAGAAAAAAACAAAAGAGAAACAAGATGACCACCACCCAGGCCACTATAATAGTAAAGCAGTGTCAACCCGGAAGAACTTCTTCATTTCTGACTTTTGGAAATCTAATAAATTCATTGTATACATGAGAAAGTTACTGTTTTATTTGACTGTTACCGATTCCAAGGTATAAACTCTCCACCCAACCAAAGGAGACAATAAAGACTTACTTTGATTGTCAAACATTTCAGGAAGGACCCATCCCTACCTGTTCTAAGAAACGAGTGTGAGTTCTCACTAATAATTAGCTAACTAAAGATGACTGCAAAATGATTTGTAGAAATGCTTCGAGTCATGGAGGGAAAAATGTTGAATTAATATAAAATATCATTATGATGATTATTTTAGAGCAAAACTAAGTGCAAATGATTATTCTCACCTCATTTGCAATTTTATTTAAAAGAGAAAAACAACCTGAAAAACCCAATACAGCACTTTTCATCTTTTCCTATGAAACCAAAGCATATTTTACAGGAGTCATAATATCTTTGTATTTTCCATTCAGCAATATTTGTTGAGTTCCTACTCTGTGTAAGACACTGTGAAGGATGCAAAGTTCCCTAAGCTGTGGCCCTTTTGCTCAGTAAACTTATTATCTAATGAGGAAAAACAAACTATCATTTATTGGAAACCTGTGAACCAAGGAACATGGCAAGTCCTTTACTCATGTAGGAAAATTAAAATTTATAAAAATGTTGACAACAAATTTACAATACAAGGTGCTATTTTCCACATGTCTAGGTTTTGATGTAAGAATTAGAAGAATCCTCATTTCCCTATTTTGGATGCAATATTTTGCTGGTTCCTTGGATCAGAACTTGCCAACTTCTCTGGTTTTTTGTATGGTAAGCAGAGAGTTCTGCACAGATCTTTGAGAACGCTCTCTATTCGGAAGAATTTCAGTGGGGATGTTTACATTCAGCCATTCCTACTTTTCTGAGACAGTATCTCACTGTGTTGCTCAGGTTGGTCTTGAACTCCTGGGTTCAAACAATCCTCCCACCTCAGTCTCCCAAGTAGCTGGAATTATAGGCATGTGCCACCGCATCTCGCCATTTCTACTTTTTAAGGTGACAGATTGCTCTAAGGTGAGCTCTGAAGTAGAGTATTGCAGAGAGGCAGACCTCTCCAAGGGACTGGTTTACATACTTCAGGGAAACCAAAACCAACTTCACAGCTGAAGGGCTTCTAACCTGTGTGTGAAGCTATTGTCAGGAATGAGTGGCGGGCCCATTTCACTACACCTGTTTGTTTTCTCAGGAGCTCTCCAGCTTACCCAAATGCCCCATCAGGCCTGTCTCATCATGACACCTGGACATCTTCCCCAGCACCTTGCTACTCAAAATCTGAGATGAATAAGTACAGAAATTGAGTGTAAAAATTTTTAGAAACCTTAGTAGTAAACATTTTAGGTCTGTTGTATCTAATCATAAAAATTGGGGACTTGCATATCTCACATCTTTCTAAATCTTTCTTGTATTTTATTCTTATTATATTTTATAAATCTATTGGTTTATGATAGATTGGAAGTTTAAAAAACATAAAAATTTATTTACTACAGATAGTTCTGAAAAGCATGGCTCTTGGTCACAGCTTGTTTAAACTTGAAGAATTAAATGTGTACATACATTATGTCAAAGCTAAAACAAGAACTAATTTAAGTAAACACTTCTCCAAAAACAATTTGATTTTTAGAGCAAGAAAAAAGTATGCTTTTGAGAAAGTAAGTGTAAATGCGTAAGTCTTTACAATTTCATATTTGCTGAGAGTTATTCACTTGTTGAGAAATAAAATTTCTGTTAGAAAATGTCTATGTTCTATCATTGTAAAGTATAGTAAAAATATTCCATTTATAGAAATAGAAAATACAGGTAACATTTAAAGGTTTAACTTTGCTTATATATACTCCTTACTGATAACATTTGCAGCATATACACATGAAACATATTTTCCAATACTTAAAAAATAATCAAATGTATCAATATATTCTAATTGATTCATAAAGTACTTACACAATGGCCAAGCTAATGAAAGCCCAAGGAGAAAAAACAGAAAACATTATCAGCAGTATGCAGAACAAGAATAAAGAAGAAGCTAAAGTCTCTATCAATACAAAACGTAAAAAAGCAGAGAGTCAGGAAAAATACTTCTAACTAAAATTTGCTCCCAAAACAAAAATTTAGATACAAAAATAACTGCACTTCAGTTACCAAGAACATTCCATTTAAGTCACAGGTTATTAAATGTCTAAAATTCTCCAAAAGCTAAAGCTTTCCCAAAACAGTAAAAGCTTTTTCATTACTGTAAATGAAAATCCTTTTAAATGAATTTGCATAATTAGAGGCTGTCTGCATGTGTGCATGTAAAACTGGTTTTTAAATTACCCTTATTTGGATCCCACACACTAGCATTATTTAAAAGAAAGCAAGATCAAAGAGAAGTAAATGTGACTAAAATGACGAACACTTTTTGAACTGTTAAAAATAAAATCACATTTCTTTCAAGAGAGTAGTATCCTCTCACTCAAGGAAAGTGGAACATTTCTGATCTTACTCATTACTAAGGAAAAAGTAATATCAAACACTCAAATATCCATAATGGGGATAAGGACAGCAAGGAAAATTAAAATCTAGAAGGAACTTTCAATAATTTACTTTCCTTCCTTAATATCATTTATCATTTAAAAAGATATGGCAAAAATATAAAATGACCCCCAAATTATCTACTATTCTTTCATAGGGGTTCCAATAGTAATTTTTTAAAATTAATTTTTATCCTGGGAAATTTTCATACATAAAACTGAATGGTATAGGTTTCTCCAAGGACAGAAAAAATGATTAGACAACATCCAGTTCATAATGCCCACTTTCTAGCAGGATTTGATGCCAAATAACAATCTAGTACCTAAGAAGGATGTATATAAATACAGTTGTTTTCTTGTTTGTTGGTTTGTTTGTTCGAGACAGAGTCTCACTGTCTCCCAGGCTGGAGTGCAATGGCACAATCTTGACTCACTGCAACCTCTACCTCCTAGGTTCAAGCAATTCTCCTGCCTCAGCCTCCCAAGTAGCTAGGATTACAGGCGTGCACCACCATGCCTAGTTAATTTTTGTATTTTTAGTAGAGACGTGTTTCACCATGTTAGCCAGGCTGGTCCTGAACTCCTGACCTCAAGTGATCTGCCTGCCTTGGCCTCCCAAAGTGCTGGCATGACAGGCGTGAGCCACCATGCTCAGGCAAATACAGTCATTTTCAAGGTGCAAATAGGTGCAGATATTCATTGCTTTCATATATGCATCCTGTCACGTGAAACATTTGCAATTCTGCACTCCATACCTGGCCTAACAGGGAAGTGATAGGTGAGGGGAACTACAATGATGCTTGCCTCAAGGTTGGTCGAATGATTATCAAACGGAATGAAACTGTAAAAGTTTCTATTCAATTGCGGCAAAACTCATTACAAATGTCAGTATTTGATGTTCTTTTTTCTACTCATCATGCATTGCAATAAACTGTAGGATCATCTTCAGAAAAGTTTCCACTTCAAGAAACTAACTCCCACACCCAGGCCTGCAACTAAGCCGCAACTATAATTAATTGCCCTTTGCATCTTCTCTGAAGTATTAGAGATTTTTGTCTCTCATTTGGAAGGAGATTAAGTTTGAAGAATTTAGTCCCATCATTTGCCAATTCTTCTCTTAATGTATAACTATGAAGTTATAAGATTTTTAAACATACAAGAATGCACATGGCCAGGCACAGTGGCTCACACCTGTAATCCCAGCACTTTGGGAGGCCGAGGTAGGTAGATTACTAGAGGTCAGGAGTTTGAGACCAGCCTGGCCAACATGGTGAAACCCTATCTCTACTAATAATATAAAAATTAGCCGGACACAGTGGCATATGCCTGTAATCCCAGCTACTCAGGAGGCTGAGGCAGGAGAATAGCTTGAACCCTAGAGGTGCAGGTTGCAGTGAGCCAAGACTGCACCACTGCACTCCAGCCTGGGTGAAAGAGCAAGACTTCGTCTCAATTAAAAAAACAAAAGAATGCATAGATCCATTGCCTCTCTTCAGATACTTGGGTACATGGGAAGAATACTCATGAATGACAATATCACTACTGCCATATAAAATGGTTTTGAGGCTCTTCAGAACTAACCTAGAGGGCAATGGAATACACACATTTCTCTGAACATCTGTACTGACACTAAATCCTAACCCTTTGAGAATGAATAAGGATCAGCCACAGGCCATCCTGAAGCTAATCTGGCCATGAAGTATAATACTGTCTTGTGTCAAAAAAATCAGGTTTCAAGAAGAATTTGTCTCACCAATAAGCTGATGAGAGTAATCCTTATTGAAAGATATAAAACAGCTTTGAAGGTAATTCCCAAAAATTTTTTGGTAAAGATTGAATATTCATAAAGCTGCTAAATAAAAATTTTTAGAAGGGCAATACTGACCTATGATACCAATTCTGACATTCCAAATAAAGCTCCTCCATCATAAACCTTTTACACCCTAGATGATGGCTCACATATGCTGGGCTGGGCTTAGTGACGTTGTGCCAGACGCTAGCCTTGAAAACCATTATTTCCATTCAATAGATGAGCAACAAAGGCTGAAAGAAGGTGAGTCACCTAATAAGCCAAGTAAGTGAGCCATGTTTCAAAGGGGGCCTTTTGATTCCAAAGTGCTCACCCTTGACTCACTCTTTTGCCTCCCATAACTACTTTGAGTCATTTTCACATACAAGACAGACTCCTTTTCCATACTAAAAGACCAAGGGAAAGAAACAGAGGTGATGATATCATTAATGCAAAATGCCTTAAGGAACATAGAAGTTTTTTCCTATAAGTATAGAAGTTACCTGAAAATGTAAGGTTAATTTCAGTGCTTATTACCTTAGTTATCACAGATCCAAAAGACTATAGACCAACATTTTAGATTTAATTTTCCAAATAACAATGATGTTTGTATTGCAAGAAAGCAACTCCACACGTTCTAAATACCCACAGGGCACTTTTTTTTTAATAGCATGAAGTGTAAGTCTCCTCTCTCATTCAAATTAATGAGTGTGAAATGCCTATTTCAGGGGAATAAAGAACACCCTGAGAACTACGAGCCAACTTATTAGGAAAGGTGAGAACGAACAGTAAAGGAACCAGCATATGGCAAAATCAAAAATAATTTGCTTAAGTTATTCTAAGCTCCCTGTCCAAACACTTTTACTTCCTACTTCAAGACTATTTTCCCTTTCTTCCCAATAATCTCAACTACCATATTTTACCATCATTTATCCTCTATAACACTCATACTAATCTGATTTTAAAATCCATCACTGGATTTATTCCCCCTACCAGGAGAAGAAATAAATCTGGGTCAAAAATTCTTTACAGTAGCCAGGCGCGGCGGCTCACGCCTGTAATCCCAGCACTTTGGGAGCCCGAGGCAGGTGGATCACGAGGTCAGGAGATCGAGGCCATCCTGGCTAACACAGTGAAAACCCATCTCTACTAAATATACAAAAAATTAGCTGGGTGTGGTAGCAGATGTCTGTAGTCCCAGCCACTCAGGAGGCTGAGGCAGGAGAATGGTGTGAACCTGGGAGGCGGAGGTTGCAGTGAGCTGAGATCACGCCACTGCACTCCAGCTTGGGTGACAGAGCGAAACTCTATCTCAAAAAAAAAAAAAAAAGAAACTGCAGGACTGCAGGACAAACCCTCCCCATCCGTCTCCATCCCCCCAACCCCCGGCCCTCCCCACCTCCTCCCCCAACCCCAGCAGGATGATCAACACCTGCCAGCCGAATGCTCTGGACCTTGACTTGTCCCAGGTCTGCCAGCCCCTCAGCCTGAGTAAGTCATCCTCAGAAAAGTAACTTCCCAAGATGACAATGGTATCAAGGAGAAATTTCATTTCTCACCACCTTTTGGATTTTAAGACTAGATTTATATGATCATCGGGAAAAGTCAAGGGCTGAAGCTGCTATGATTTTGACTGCTATGCTAAGAGTGGAGAGGGTTTGTAGTTAAATAGAGAACAGGCAGAAAGAAAATATACATATTCATGATTTTAAACTTCTGTGATAGAAAGAGCTTCTAAGAGGATTACATAAACTCTGCAATATCAAATACAGATGATTAAAGACTCAAACAGTTAACACTCAAAGTGTCAAGCATTCCAGCATGAATTATATTGGAAATCCAAACACTTTTGGGGGGAGATTTATTATATCATGAAGAGAAGTAAACTGAAATCTACTTAAATGTGGACATCTAGGCCTAAGAAACAAAATGTGATAAAATACTATGACATAATTTAGAAAAATAATTTTGTGTTTTACCAACTTTCATGAGCATCAACATAACATGTGACTTTATAAATGTGGTCGCCAGTACTGTGATTCAAGTTGTAAGTGGGGAGAACATGGTACTACAATACTTTTAAGACTTCCCCATATCAGCAGTATCAATTTAGCATATAATGCATAAGTGAAAGGCCAAAATGAAGTTGGAATTATCATAACAATACTGTTCAATCCCATCATCAGAGATTAACCATTTGACCTGAATTCCTGCCTTCATTAAAAAAAAAAATTATAAAAGATAAAGTCTACTAGCAATTAGGTTGAACTTTACGAAACTGCCAATAGTCTGCAATTTTTGACATGCAAAATATCAATTTTATACAGTTCTTCTACTATAACTATCTGAAAGTTATTCTCAACAGATCACAAAGGAGTTTAAGGGACAAGGTATATAGCAATCTTTGGGAACACGGCCCCTATCAATTTATTTGAGAAGAAAATGCCTAACCATACTTAGTAGTCTAATAATTATCACTGTCAATATAACTATTAGCAACAGAGAATCAGGACAGTATTTTCATCATGGGTCTGCCATTGGTAGTTATATTATTTACACCTCTTTTGACCTCAGTTTACCTATAATTAAGGAACCATCTCAGTTTTATCACAGAACTGAATAAAAGCTGTTAGACTGCTGGCAGTCACGATATTTAATCAGGACTGTAAAACCACATTAGAAGTTATTGCTAATTTAGTAGTTTGATCTAATAGAGCAGTAAAGTTTACACCAACTTGCTTTTTTGTTTTTTTGAGACAGAGTCTCACTCTGTCGCCCAGGCTGGAGTGCAGTGGTACAATCTCGGCTCACTGCAACCTCCGCCACCCAGGTTCAAGCAATTCTCTGCTTCAACCTCCTGAGTAGCTGGGATTACAGGAGCCTGCCACCACTGCCAGCTAATTTTTATATGTTTAGTAGAGACAGAGTTTCACCATCTCCGCCAGGCTGGTCTTGAACTCCTGACCTCGTGGTCCAGCTGCCTTGGCCTCCTAAAGTGCTGGAACTACAGACATGAGTCACCGCGCCTGGCCTGTTTTTTTTTTCTTTCTTTCTTTCTTTATTTTTTTTTTTAAATACGGAATAACCTATCCCACTGGCTTTGTCTCTTACTCCTCCCCCAATTAAAAATAAAATTACTGGCCGGGGGCGGTGGCTCACGCCTGTAATCCCGGTACTTTGGGAGGCCGAGGCGGGAGGATCACGAGGTCAGGAGATCGAGACCATGGTGAAACCCTATCTCTACTAAAAATACAAAATATTAGCTGGGCGCGGTGGCGGGAACCTGTAGTCCCAGCTACTCCGGAGGCTGAGGCAGGAGAATGGCATGAACCTGGGAGGTAGAGCTTGCAGTGAGCCGAGATTGTGCCACAGCACTCCAGCCTGGGTGACAGAGGGAGACTCCGTCTCTAAAATAAAATAAAATAAAATAAAAAATAAAATTACTATTGGCATGCCCCTCAGTAAACTGCTGGCAAACAAATAATTAATATTACCAGATTTGGTTTCTCTACTATAGTCTATTTTTACAAACGAAAGATAATTAATGTGCATATGAAAATTCCACAATGTAAGGTTAGTTTTTTTAGGGTTCTATTGTCTGGGTTTTTGTTTTTGTTTTTTTTAAACAATATGTCTTTCTGTATTGTTTTTTGCTTTTCTTCTTTCAAAACAATAAAACTGTTCAATCACATAATTGGTGTTCACTCCAGCTTGAAACTAATGAAAAATACTACACTAACAATTTATATGGTACAAATTCAGACTTGTCCATTTCTAGAATTTTCATAGAGGCAAAGCATTAATTTTACTCAATATTTAGTATTGGCTTGGTGCCTGGCATTTTGCTAGGAGATAGGGGAAATACAAAATATAGTATGACATATATACTGCCCTCCAGAAAGTTACATCCAAGCATACAGGAGTTAATTTAATATCTATGCAAGGTACGACTGGCGCTTTAGTGTCCAAGTGCATGCTATTATCATTAAGGGTTAGATAATTAGAAAAGATCAAGATCACAAACGGCTGAAGCAGGCAGGAAAGAAATTTGGCAGACAGATAGGAAACCAGCAAGAGCAAACAACTTTTCTGCGTACCAGATACCCTAAGAAGCACTTTTCAAAAAGAGCTCCTTTAAACTTCATAACAACCTCTTGGGAGAGGTACTATTATCTCCATTTTGCAGGCACAGAAATTGAGACTTAGTGATATTAACCAATTCATCCAGGATTGCATAGCCTAGGAGGCTGATGCACGTATGCAGGAGACTGCACGTGAGTTAATTCCTCAAAGAGAGGGAGGTCTTGGGGAGGTGGAGGAAGAGGGACATGGTAGGAGTGCTGGGGAAGAGAGAACAGTGAGTGTAAAGGCCCGGGAATAGGAATAAGGAGACTTCTATCTCCTTTCCTGGGAAGAAGTGGTAAAGTTTGACATGTTAAGTCAGGCTCTGAACAGGCCATATAGTTTGTATCTGGGTATCTTCTTACTAGCCACACAAAGTAAAAGTTTCAAAGATAGTAAAAGTTTAGGTGTCCTGTAAAATATAGACACTTTAGTCTCAATTCTTCTCTATGAGCTCTTTGATAGGAAGTGTTAGAAATTGCTATACTTTCTAGAGGTATGTTAATTTTCTTGTTTTAAATCAAGATATTACAAAGTAAAATTAATAAGACAGCCATTCTCTTTCACGCTCTACAAAATCCAAGTTAAGTTACACACATTTATCCCCTGCAACAAATGCTGCACGTTTCATTTTCATGATGGCAAAGCAAGTCTACGGTTTTATATCTCAAGGCTTCATCATAAAATACTCAGCCATCCGGCACCAAGAATGGAACAACAACAACAACAACAACAAAACCCAAGTCATTAAAACCATACTTGAAAGTTTCCTAATTGGTGTTCTGTGGCTGTCTGTAGAAGAAACTTGCAAAGTACAGAACGTTATAAACTTGTATAATGTATTTTTCTGCTTCATTTACACCCTGTGGAATCACACTATCACATTTTATCCAGGAAAAAGACATAGCGGTTGAGGCTATTATCTATTCCAGTATACAATCTAAGGGTGTTCTTACCTCACAGTTGCTGAGATCCAGAGAAACCCCCTTCAAGTTATGATTACAAGCCAGGCCCAATAACAGTGCTCTGAGGGGAGGAAACACATATATTAGATACACATTCCACACATTGCCCAAAAGAAAAAATGTAAGCACACTGAATAAAGCCTAGAGAAAGAAGACTGCCTTTTCTGAATCACAGGTCAAGCACCAAGCACCCTCTTACTTTTTAAAATGCCAACTGCATTTCTGCCTCACAACAACAGTGAAAGACTGACTCTGCAGCATTCTTTTGCCTGACAGGCAGTGAGCCCATCATAAATGTAAAACCTGGCAGGATTGCTATTCCTATGCAAATAAACCAACAGCACACCTAATTGCATATTGAAATTAAATTGTGCTCATCACAGATAAATTCCCACCTGCATCTGCTTGAGAAGAGCTTTAATAATGTTTAGAATATTATTAAGCAATTGTTATTAGAGTTGCAAAGTAAAGCTAGTTTTCCCTAAGGAACATGTAAGTGAGGAAGTCAGGCTCCATACTATACCAGCATGTGAAATTACATCTAGATGACTTTATTAAATGACCTACAGTAGCGGGTGGGCAAGGGTATAAAACAAAGCACATGTCTTGAATCGCAGTCCAGGATCCTGCCTGTCCAACTACCTGCTGAGCCGGGACAAATCATGTATCACTGCTCTGAAAAGGAATTTTCTCATCTGCAAATTGAGGAGATTAGACTAATCACTTGGATCCACTCTGACAAGTCAGTCCTATAAAATCCAACACCATCAAGCAAGCTTGAAACAGAAAATTCACACATGCACACACAATCACTAAATTATACTAAGTGGACAGAAGACCCTAAATCAGACTTTGTGAAAAACACAGAAAGATGGTTCCTGCTCTCAAGCAAGGAAAACAGATAGGTATGCCAATAACTCTAACACAAGGCTGCCAGTGGTAAGTACTAGAAGAGTGGAACCCAGGTATTTATTAACTGGGGGTGACTACCTGTTTTCCATGTTGCCAGGAAAAGGACCTCTACTCAGCACACCCCAAAAATACCCTAGGGTAAGGGTGAGGTGGGAAGGTAGGGAATTATTTTATGCCCAAGTCTCTGACATTTTCTTTTCTAGTGATTCTCTGACTTTATCTACTAAGAGAGAACCCAGCAGTGGCATGGAACACACAGGGGCTTGGCTGCCTCTAGCTATGAAAACCCACCTCCTCCCACTCCCTGACCCTGTTGGGAGGCTGGAAGTAAGTGCCTTCCTTTTCACTTTTTAAATTCAGTTCACTAGTCCCTTATTCTAAAACACTGTCCTATGAGAAAGGCTGGGTATATCTCATCTATGTACTTGTTCAAATACTTATTAAATTGCTTCCCTTTCCTAAAAATTACTTATGTGCCCTTTCTTTCATGGGGGCAGTATTGAGTCACTGAAAGCGCTGGAGGCTGAAAACCAAAAGGCCAGTCCTCATGTCCCAGCTCAGCGGCTACTGGTTGAATGACCTTAAGCACATCACTTTTTGTGTGTGTCTTAAGTTCTCATCAGTAAAATGAGAGAGTTAGGATATTACCAAAGAGGCCCCTTTTATTTCCAATATATGCTGAGTTTCTAGGACTTAGACACATATTTCAACATTGTATTTTTATGATGCTTAGACAGAAGGAAAATACTTCCTACTTTTCTCACATGTGAATTAAGGCCAAGAAAACAAATGATATGCTTTAAGGCATTTAACTACAGAAGGCCAATGATTAGGAGACAACAACTCATGAGACTAGTAAAAATAAATAACCCATAGAAACTGTCCCTAGTAAAATAAAAGAATAAATACAATAAAGCATACTGGGCACTGGGGAAAAATTCTATAGCAAAATATGATGTTTATTTTAACCTAATGATGGCAAAATTGCCTTAACAATCATCTTCTAGATCCCCAATCACTACTGTAAAATTGCTTAAGAGAACAATTTGAATTTAATTCTTCCAGCTCTAGATCAGTGGCACTAGTTATAATTTCAGGGTAGCACATTCAACAGGTTTATGAAAAATACTCAGCCAGAGAGATGGGGTCAAAGAGAAGGGGTGCCACATGGCAGGGAGAAAGGGGATGTCCAGGAAGAAAGACTTGAGGGAGGGAAAACGAAAGACCAAGAATGAGCAGTAAGCAGGAACTCACACTGCACTCTGAGTGATGCTGGAGCAATGAACATCCTTGTGACACACATGGACCAGATTATTCTAGCAATTTTAGAAAACATCAAGGAACAGCGTCACCATGTTCTCTAACCCCCCTTGAAATACATTAACATGGACCAAAAAAGGCCTCAAAGGAAAATCACAACAATAAAGTAAGCAGTCATATTCTTTGTCTTCCTTCCCACCTCCACCTCCCGCAAGACACTCTACTTCCCCAATTTCCTTGTAAAAGAATCTCAAATTAAGTGGGAAACTTGTGGGGAAAAATATTGTTATGTCCAAACTTAAAGCGTTCTCTCAAAAGTAATTGTGTTGTTTTAGTTTATTCTCTCACTGCTACTAATCCCAAACCCTTAGAGAAACAAGGGTTTCTGCCCCTCTTGGTGCAGTTGAAGGCGGAATGAGGTAGGGAACACTGCTGAGCCCATGACAGCTGGTTGAGAGCAGCGGACACTGCTAGGCACTTCCCAGAACCCACTCTGGGTTCTTCCTCTTTACTGGAAGAGCCTCCCAGTGCAACTTCTCCCTTCTGTCTGATCCTGCTTTCTCCCCGATCCCTCTTCACCGTTGGCAATCCCAAGAGAATGTCCTTATAAATATCCTATTTGCTAATCTCCATCTCAAAGTTGGCTCCTCAGGAAACCCAATCTCCAATAGTGATTTGGGGCAAATTACTTAGCTTCTCTGAGCCTCAATATCCTCAGCTGTAAAATGGGGATAATGATACCAACTTCTCATCACTGTTATCAACATTAAAGGTGACAGGCCATATGTAAGCACCCAGCGCAGTGTCTAGTCTAGGGTAGTACTGTGCAAATTCCTTTTCATCTTCACCCTCTCACACATAAACCTGAGAACTTCAGTTTTGTGTTCTTTTCAAATAATTATATCACATTAAATGTGTATGTGGAATTTTATTTACATAATCTTCAGCCATGAAGCCTTTCTCCCCATATTAAAATTTTTACTGATTAAAACACAGAGCTGAAGAGACTACTGACTTAACATTATCAAACATTCACACCAATAACATCAGGTCCAAGATTTAACAATTACAAAATATCTCTGAAGTACAACATTTACAGGTATACTTGTGCAACAAAGTACATTAAGTCCAGCCTTGTTGCAAAGTGAAACATTCCACAAAATCAGTTACACTAACCAATAAAATGTTACTCTATATTATACAAAAGTCAACAAGATTGAAAGAATTAAAAATAGAAAACTATTTGAAAATGTTAATTTCCTGCTGATACATTACCAGGACAAGGACCCTCTCTGGTTTTGCTTCCTACTCTGCCATCCAGTGTCCAGCACATTGCAGATGCTCAGTATTACTTGAATGAATATGTAAATGAGTATGATTATAATGGAACTTTAGAATATGATTCTCATAGCTTTCTTAATATCCATACAAACAGCCAAATCATGAGGTGTTTATTATTTGTGGCTATTATATTTAGGGATCCCAAATATATTAACTCAACATTTTTTAAGCCTGCTATAACATAACATCAGACTTTTTTTTTCAGCACTTGACTAGATCTACTTTTTTTTTTTTTTTTTTTTGGAGATGGAGTCTCACTCTGTCGCCAGGCTGTGGCATGCAATGGCGTGATCTCGGCTCACTGCAACCTCTGCCTCCTAGGTTCAAGCGATTCTCCTGCCTCCAGCCTCCTGAGTAGCTGGGAATACAGGCATACACCACCATGCCTGGCTAATTTTTGTATTTTTAGTAGAGACAGGGTTTCACCATGTTGGCCAAGCTGGTCTCGAACTCCTGACCTCAAGTGATCTGCCCACCTCGGCCTCCCAGAGTGCTGGGTTTACAGGCATGAGCCACCACACCCGGCCTGGATCTACTTTTTTAAAGGCATCCATTGTTTTGATCGTCTGGTACTATATGAAAACAATAACCTCATACCTCTTAAAACAGAAATAAAAAAGGAAAAGAAAAGATAATTTATAAATTAAATGAAGCTTAATTTTCTAGTAAGATGAATAGCAGACATTAATTTTAACATTTTATAAGTGAAAGATTAAATGCTGATTTACAGTCAGCTGGGAAGGGAGAAATCCATGCATATAACTGAGCATATCTGACAACTTTCATAATCATTACTTCAAAATACCTTCTTTAGACTCAAAGAGAATTTGACCCTAGAGTCAAATTCACTGAACTTGTACAGTAAACTTTTGACTATTTCTGGCAACAGTGAACGGAAATCTCAAGGATAATAAATTATTCTCAAACCTCAATTTAGCTAACAATTTTAACTTCACCACTATACCTACACTAGGGATATTAACCCATAAGTTGGCTGCCAAATAAAAGTGCCAAATAGCCCATACTAACCTCAGTAATTCAGAAACCAAAGTAGCTAAAAATTCATTCTGTTGCATACATACAATGTGTTTAGAGTTTATTACTATTGGTAGAAAGATTTAGAGTAAATGTTAATGAAAACACGCACATACACACACACACACACACACATGAATATGCCTGAAATGGAATGAACAGAGGTTAATATAAAAGCAATAGTAAGTACCTGGGAATACAACTTTTGTAGATCAGTGACTCCTGCCAAGGTCATAAACCAAAAGATGTTTTTTCTTAGAAGATGCAATAATATCAATAGTGCACGATGTATTTTTTAAAATTTTAATTTATCTTTCTGCCCCACAGTAAAAAGGTATTCTCATCTGTGGTTTTTGTCTTGTCTTGGGATTATATATCTTTCTCCCTTTCCTCAAGCACATTCATAAAAACAAGTTGAACTTTAAAAGCTCTGGAGAAAGTGAATTAACCACTCACTTTAAGGGCTCAGGAGACAGTTTTGTGCCTGAAAGGTTGATGTGCATCAAAGCCAGAGAACTACTAAAAAATTGCTTGAAAGATGGAGGTACTTCTTTTCCTTTCCTGAAAAAAACACAAGAGTTATACAAGCGGTTATACCTTCATCAAACATATTCATTGATTATTCAGACACTATGAAATCTACAAATCGGTCATATTCTCTGTAGAAATTTAAAAGTAAATAGAAACAAATAAATGTCCAAAACCTAAAGCCATAAAGCCAATATTATTAAAGGAACCACTTAAATGAGGTAAAGAAATACTTAGTTCATAAAATAATTCATTGCTATTCTTCATATCCAATGAATTCATTGTGTTTTACCTCTTGATCAGGAAACTCCATGTTTGGAATTTTTAAAAATAGGAGGTCAGAGAAGATGTATATTTCTCACCAATTTAAAAGCTTTCCCACTGGGTGGCACAAAATGTTAGAGATCAATACCTGCATTTGGCAATATTTTTAGATGTAGCAGGTTTCACATGCAACAAGATTGTAATCTGATGTTGAGCTAAAATAGCACAGAAAGTCCAAATGGCATGAAGCCTGCATTACAAATAGCCTATTCAGCTACTATGTCCATACCACAAACCTAATCATTTCAGGCCAACTATTAGAACAGTTAAAGACAAAACTACAAAATAAAATGGCTATAACCTCCTAATACATCCCCTTGCTATTATGGAGAAAAGTATGTGGATCAAATCATACAGCCCAATAATGAGGTAGCATCCACACTACATGATAAGCGTTGAAGAAAAACAGGATTTAAGAGTCCAAGATGGAATCTGAATGAACATTTTGCTTGTTCTGTTCTATCTGATAGAAATGATGGAAGGATTGAATAAGTCAGCATATATAAAGCACTTAGCTGATGCAGCGTAAGCACTCATTTAATGACAGTTATTCATATTCTGTGGAGGGACTCATGGAATCTCAGGGCAGAGAGCATCCTAGTGGTTTAGCTCAATCACATAATATTCAATAATATTTAATGTACAGAGATCTGGGAAAATCTGTCAATATTTGACAGTTTTTGTTTTTTAAGTTTTAAAACAGGACAATTGAAGGCTATTTGAGAAGAAAAATCGAAACAACAAAAATCTCTATCTGAGAAGATGAAAAATAAAACTAAGAGGAAAGACAATTCTGGTAGACTGTGTGATATAAGAAATCTGAAACAACTCTGTTTCCATATGGTGGAACAATGTAAGCTTGTATATTTTTGTTCACTTTCTGCTGAGAAAATACTGTTAACTTACTCTAAATACATTTCTCCTCCTACTACTCTGTCTTAGTGTTGAGTATTCCAGTGTTTCCAAATATTCACTGCCCCTTTTTGAAGGAGGATGATGCTTCATCCCTCCACTGACAGCAGGCTTGGCCACGTGACTCTCTTTGGCCAGTGAGACGTGAGCAGAAATGATGTGTGTGACTTTCAGAGAGACGCCTTGGGAGCCAGTATGTGCACTGCCATGATCTCTTTTTCTCTGCTATATGACTGCGAATGTTCTAGATAGGCGGCCACTCTGCCTCCTGGAGTGAAGGTTGTATGCCAGCCCACAATGGACACGTCACAAAATCACTGTTACTGAAAGCCACGGACACTGGGGGAAAGGGGTCACTGTTACTGTGGAACAATCTAACTTACCCTGACGGATACACTTACGAAATTATCTGTGAATAAAAGAATGAAAAGCCTGGCTGACAATCCACACCTCAACGTAAATGCAGTAATTTCAACAAAATTACTAAGGGCTTTCTACAACTATATCTAGGTAAGGTATTAGGTATTAAACAGTTTAATCACAACCTTTCATGTGGAAGACAAGACAATTTGTTAGCGCAATTCTGTTCTATAAGCTTAACAGCTCTACTGAAGACCAGTCATCACAGAATTCACAGTATTGTGAACTCGAAAGTGCTGATTATACAAAAACCTTTATAGTCTGTGCTTTCATCTTGTAACCCAGTTCCCCAGTCAATTACTGCTCCACCAAAGCATGGCTTTATAAGCTGGCTTCAAATATATGAGTTGACTAGGTTTCAATTAAAACTCTCAAATGTTCCCCAAAATATAGTTACCATGGAAAATTCTACTTTTCCCACCATTATATTTTCAGACGTAACACTCCCTAACTTTAATCTATGGAGGTATTTGTGGCATATTTTTGCTACTGTAAAGATTTAATCAATATTGAAGTAATAAAAAATAGTACTTTAATATACAAAGTAATTGATTTGCAAGGCACAATTATGGAATAAAGCATGCTACAAAACTGAATTTTCCAAATAAGTGAGGGTTATCCTTTTAAATATATAAGGCCTTTACAAATTAGCAAAAATAAAAATATTTCTAATATTAACCAATACCCATATTATTTAAAAGCATATAATAACTAAATATATTTATAATTTATGGTCATAATTATAAATGCTAAGTGTTGAACTGTATTAATTATTTAGATATTCCCAGATTCCATACCTATACAACCCATGTACTCTTCATAATTCCTCTGAATTCCTCTACAGTCTCTTTGCATTCTAAGTTGCTACTCTTTGTGAATCCTTGTTGCTTCTAATCTACTGCCTTATTCTGCAAACAATTATAGTCAGGAGTATATAAGTGAAGTAGTCAGACTGGCCCTCAATTACTTCTACAAGTAAAATTGCATGACTTTGAGATAACTATTCTCTTTACTCTCCAAAAGTAGTTTATACCTACATCCAACCTCATTCATGCAAAATACCTATAAAAGTTTCTAAAAGGGTTTTTCCCATATTAAGACAGATTTCCTGACCACATATGAGAAATAGTGCGCTATCACATAGTTCACGTAGGCAGGCTGGAATTATTGATAAGAACATTAACCTACATTAACAAAAATGTTCAAGGCCTAACATTCATAAATAATGCTTAAAGCCGCCTTCTTTCATACACAATATTCACCCTTTATCACTCCGTTTTCCTTATCACTACAAGTTTTTCTCAGAAAAAGACACTTCCAGATGACAATGAGAGCAGAAATAAATCTATACCGGTGAGAGAAGACAGTTCTGGAGAGGTTGAGCACAGCTAAATATTGAAGGCATCCACGGAGAAGAGCTCCACAGACCTGAAAAAGAAATAAGGTACTCTTCTTTTCAAATGTTTCTAGGTCCAGGAGAATCTTTTGTTAGAGGTCCCCTACATCCCATCTAAATAGCTCTTCTGAGACCCCTCAGAGCAATATATATATGTGTGTGTGTGTGTGTGTGTGTGTGTGTGTATTAAATTTACCATGTCCAGGGAACATTCGGTATTGGATAAATCCAGATGAGCAATGGCATTTGGCTGGGCCAAAAAATTGTACATGTGCTGGAAAAAAAATAAAAGATACATGTTAGGATTCTAGAAACACATATACACACAATGCAAGTTAATGTTTTAAAAGGAAGTTGCCAGAATTTCTTAGACCATTCTCTGCTCTTCCCAAGGGGATTACCAGAATTTTCTGTCATTCCTTTACATTCCCTGATGTGAAAATCCCAAGAATAGTTAAAATTATGTTTGAGTAAAAAAGGCCAAATGGAATCTTGAAAACCAAACCCCCATTTTGTTACACATGACTTAGTTTTCCTGATTAGTTTAATTTTTATTATACAATTTTGGAACAGTGCTAATTCATTTTAACTCCTGAGATTAAAATACCACCTGGACTACAGTCACTCTATCAAAATGCTAATCACTTTTGAAAGTGTTTGCAGAACTACGAATCTGAATTTGAACCATAAGATGGTCTCAGGCTATCCTCTCTTCTGTTCAACATAATGATTTTCCTACCCTTAGTTACTTCTCAAAGCTAACAAGAATGACTTGGCAGTAATATGAGTCCATTGTAAAAGTTTTCACTAATAGCTAAGACACTTCCAGTTTCAGGGGGTCACAATGCCTAAATTTCCCCAGTCCTCCCATTCAAGGCCATCAAAATAATGAAACTGATCAACAGATCAGTTCAACTGAGATGTTGAACATCAACAGAGATGTTGTTCTGGAAATACCCTGTATGTGTAGCAACTGCCAGAGCCCACCCATAAGAAACTGAGTCCAAGCTCCCTGCCACCAGGCAAATAGCTTAATTCTCCTCTGCTTCACTGGATACCACTGGATACTTGCAAAAACAAGCAAGCTTATACTGAGTATGTGCTTGCAAACATTTACTATGTGTAGCAGTTTGGCTATATGGTGCTTCAGAAGAATCCTATCAAGGAATTCAGAAGAGCAAAAAAAATAGCCTATAAACACTTAACACTTTAAAATAACCATACACATAGAATGACTTTTCTTTCTCCCCTCCCTTCCCATCCTCCCTCCTTCCCTCCCTCCCTCCCTCCCTTCCTTCCTTTCTTTCTTTCTTCTTATTCATTTATTTACTTATTTATTTTAAGACAGGGTCTGGCTCTGTTGCCCACACTGGAGTGCAGTGGTATGATCTTGGCGCACTGCAACCTCCATTCCCGGGCTCAAGCCATCCTCCCACCTGAACCTCCTGAGTTGCTGGGACTACAGGCATGTGACACCACACCTGGCTAATTTTTGTATTTTTTGTAGACATAGGGTTTCACCATGTTGTCCAGGCTGGTCACAAACTCCTGGACCCCAGAGATCACCTGCCTTAGCCTCCAAAAGTGCTGGAATTCTAGGTGTGAGCTACTGTACCCAGCCATAGAATGGATTTCATTATGAAAAGTTTTGATTCAGAAAAGTCATTTTGCTCTCACATGAAGATCCTCTGCCTCTCTCTCTGTTTGCCTGGCAAAAATTGTCTCAAGAGACTTTTAAGTTTACTGTGGCTTTGCTTCCAGCCACCAGCTGGGGGAGCTCTTATCGCCATGAAATGGTGACAAGACTATTTGGCCACGCTTCTCCAAAGAGGCCAGGCCCTGTTAGGCTGCTTTCCCTGAGGGCACAGGGTCAGGTAAACTCCTGCACCTGCTACCAGGCTCCTGGAACTTTCGTCTTTCTCACCCACTCTCCCTTCCAGCCCACTCTCACTCAGGCCTCATCGTTCCACTCCCCAGAAGCAAGCTACAATAGGACCCACCCTGGCCAGAAAAAGAAATCTTGAGCTATTTTGTTGTTTTAGGTGACTATTAATGTTCCTATTTTAGCTGAATCTTAATAATCTTTAGCCTCTCCTTTCACCCTTCCCTCTATTCTTCTACTTTGCCACAGGATTATTTTGGTGGTTTCATATTGGCCTCCTTGTTTTATTTTGGGAGGGAGCAGATTTATGAACCGTCAGTGAAGGTTACAACAGAAACTGGAAAATGAATTGAAAAATCATGGCACACCAGGAATCAAGTATTATTTAAATAATTTTAAGTGCAAGGGAGAGGAAAAGGAAAAAAAATACAAAAAGGCCTTCATTTGTACTTCCTGCCTTACAGGTAAACCAAAACAAGAGAAGTAAGAATAAATTTCACAGTGTTTTTCAGCCCTGTGGCAAAGCAGTGGATTGCAAATTAAGGCCCTCCAAAGATGGCCACTGGGTGTGGGCCATGTTGTTAAAGAAACAATTCTTCTAAATTCTATCTTGGTGACCAGAGGGGATCATTCGCCTCATATGGAAATGAGATCATACCTAATCCACTGTGTCAAAGATCTGCCAAATATTACATTATTGATTCAGTTACATCAACAATTTTATTATAATTGAGGGAGTAGTTTTTGTCTTCACACTCAAACTCTGAAGAAATGGCCCCAGGTTATGTGTAGACCACTCTTCTCCCTATTTTATTCACAGAATAGACGAGTGCTCAGGTTTCTCCCAATACTCCCTTTCAATTGTAACCTATAAAAAAACATCAGTCTTCCCAGTAACAATAAAAATAATGAGAAAGTTCAGTTTATGTCCCCAATCTTCCCTACCAGGCAATTTTAACCTGTAAGCTAATGGGTTTTTGTTGTTGTTATTATTGTTTGATATGGAGACTCATGCTGTCGCCCTGGCTGGAGTGCAGTGGCGTAATCTCGGCTCACTGCAACCTCCACCTCCAGGGTTCAAGCGCTTCTCCTGCCTCAGCCTCCTGAGTACCTGGGACTACAGGCACATGCCACCATGCCTGGCTAATTTATGTATTTTTAGTAGAGATGGGGTTTCACCATGTTGGCCAGGCTGGTCTCGATCTCCTGACCTCGTGATCTGCCTGCCTCAGCCTCCCAAAGTGCTGGGATTACAGGTGTGAGCCACTACGCCCGGCCCCTGTAAGCTAATGTTTTTAAATGAAGAAAAAAAATTCTTCAACAGCATTACTTCCAAAAAAAATGTGAACTTCAGCATCATTAAATGAGAAAAAAAATAATTGTGGTAATATATGACATTTAATTAATGAAGGCTCTGGAATTTTCAGTAAAACACTTCGTAAGCTCGTAACTAAATAATTCAAAGGTGTCATGCTAAAGAGAGAGGCAGGGAAACGCGCTACAAAGTCACATTTAGAATTATTCCAGGCTTACTAAACACAGCTTCTTCGAAGATGGAATAAAGAAAGAAAAACTTACTGAGAGGTCATCTCCACGAAGGACGTTCCCTGAGAGGTCGAGATGGACAAGGGTAGAGGCGGTCAATGGATTGGCACTGAGTGACTGAGAAAGGCTGTTCACCCCTGCAACATCAAGAAAATCCAGGCTCAGTTTGCACTCCAGGAAACAAAATGAGGTTTGTGTTTCTATAAATGGCCCAACAGTTCCATCAAATTGCAGGACTGAGGTTAACCATGAGCACTGTCCCCGAAAGGTGGCGCTATGATTGTGTCTCCTTTTGACACACCCTCAGGAAGAACAGGTTGGTCAAAGATACAACCCCCTCACTGAATCGGAAGGAGTAATGAATTGGTTTCCCTTTGCTCCATGTCTTCTGATGTGTCCAAGGACAGAAAGGATTTTAATCCGAAGCCTTAGAATGATGAAAGCAATCTAGTTGACAATGTTTATCCTTCTCTTAATCCTGCCAGGTGATTCTTGAGTTAGTGCCTGGTATTTAAACGATGCCTGTCCAAATTCAGATAATTTAGGCTATTTAAAGTACTGGGAAGTTAAAAAGAGAAGTATACAGCTCTTCTTAAATGTATTACATTCAAGGAAACATTTGGATTAAAATGGATTTCACAAAGAATCAGGAGATGATCTGTATACCATGTAAGATGCAATCATAAGGAAAAATGTATAATTAACATTCTATATACTCTTTACACACAAACATAAATGGCTCAAGTTAACATAAACTGAACTAAACTGACAAATCCACCTCAGAAAACAAATAATGAATATGTGAGGAGGCTGCTTATTCTGTATGGATAGAACGAAGTTCTCTTATAGGTGGGTAACAATTATTGATGGGCCCACTAGTCATGGTTGTCTAGTGGGCCACTTCTTTTCAGAAGGGAATAGGAGCTCTTTGAGGTGTGTCATTATCAAATGGGAGCCCAGAAGGGTCTAATCACTCACTGAGACTCAATCACTCACCACAGCACTGATGATTTTACTTAGCATAATGTGAATGTAAGAGATAGCAAAGCTCTTCGTGTTTCTACCCAAAAGTCCATGGTTCCAAATTCTATACTTTAGAAATATGGCTATTTCTTAATTGGGTACACTTTTATAAATTATTTTGTTTTTCTTAGTTTTCAGCAAAATTTTTTGAAAATCTCAACCTATCAAACTGAGACTCAAGTAAGTCAACCACTCTAAAGAGAACCAGGAAAAGGTTTTCTTTCCTCTCCACATTTGGGCAGACCCTTCATGGAGAAGAGGGGCCAAGGTCAGGGCTGCCAGTAAGAGACAGTTCTGGTCATAGCAGCAGGATCTGGTGAGGGTACTACAAGAGCTATGGGTTGCAGGTAAAGCCTCCCACTGGAGCACTTCCCTGATGTGAGCTTAGAACGTTCAGTGTGGGGCTGATAAAGAGGCCATTGTCTTCCCCAACTTCAGAGAGTTATAACAAACTGATTCTAGTGTGTGTCTGATAAAGGTTACTGAGCCATTTCTCAAAGTGGGCGCACATTTGGGTGGGTATACAGGAGACCAAGACTTCGAATAGAAAATATTTAAGTGCAAAGAACTTCTTGGCTGTCAACTCACCATTTACTAAATGCTAATAAAATGCTGGGAATTAGGAGATAAATATAAATAAGATCTTTTTCTTTTTACCCTCAAAAATTGCAAAGACCATTAGGGAAAAACTTAGTTAGACTCTGCAATGAAAAGTCAGTGCTACACAAGGAATATTCATTCCAATAAACCTTTACTGAAATCCTACTGTGTACCAGGCAGGGTCTTCTGAGATACCATCTTACTTGCTGAAGGCCAGTGGAGCGGGAGACACAGACAGCTGAATAATCACTATCCAGAGAGGCAGTAACTATCAATGGGGCAAGAACAAGAGCTTGGCAGTAGAGAAGCAGGAAATGTGATTAATTGTGTTAGATAAGAGGAACGTACGGTGGCTTATAACAAAAGGTTATTTTCTGGAGGTTATCTTCTATAACTGTTTAAATGACTAACTTCCTTTAGTTTGTCCTGATATTAGTATTAATGTATTTTTTAATGGAATAATTGAGTCCAAAACATAGGGCCAATATCAGATTCTCATCAAGAAAATCATTTGTAAAATCATTTCCTTACTGAGGTATAACAAAACTCAATAAATAAATTCCAAAAATAGAAGGCTAAATTAGTCCTGACAGCAAAATGCTCCTTGACAAGTGCGGGCACTTGGCAGTTGTCCAACATCTGAATAGACTCGAGAGAGCATCATGTTATCAGCTCAGCTTCATGCTACTGAAACAGCACGAAGGATTTCCTCTCCTGCCCCCTGAGCCCATGTTCACAGGAGGCCTGTGTTAATAAGCCCACGAAGAGTGGAGAATTATAAAAGTATAGATCTGAAAAAAAATCAAGGCACTTACAGCCCTAACTAAACACATTTACATGCCTTTCTCGATTCTGGCTGTCTAGCGATTTTGACCATTCTCTGTTATTTATTATTGTAGTGTTTACAGCTGGAAAAAGGTGGTACCAGATGGCTCTGCGTTGACATAATCTGGCTACCAGCAGGACATTTGCTAGAAATCCAGAAAACTATGAGTTAGTTAACATCTGAGCTAAAGAAAGGGTATTTGGAGGCAGTGGCGATGTCATGGGGAGTTTTTTTTTTTTTTCTTAATCTGTCTTGCATTATCGAGCCATGAATATAAATGCTAGTCTGATTCACCAGAAGCTTAACACTGCAATGTAACTCCAGTCATTTTAAATCTGCGTATCTTTCAGATCCTATGTGAAATACTTCAAGAAGTCAATTTTTTAAAAAAAGTAAACAAACATTTCAAGATATTTTTGTCCTAGGGCAATTTGAAATTACTCAGGCTGGGCATGGTGGCTCATGCCTGTAATCCCAGCACTTTGGGAAGCTGAGGCAGATGGATCACCTGAGGTCAGAAATTTGAGACCAGCCTAGCCAACACGGCGAAAACTCGTCTCTACTAAAAATACAAAAATTAGGTGGGCATGGTGGCACATGCCTGTAATCCCAGCTACTTGGGAGGCTGAGGCAAGAGAATTGCTTGAATCCTGGAGGCAGTGGTTGCAGTGAGCCAAGATCGTGCAACTGCACTCCAGCCTGAGCGACAGAGCGAGACTCCGTCTAAATAAACTAAAATAAAATAAGATAAAAATTCTTCAAGTCATGTTATAAAACAATGCTAATTCTTAAAACACATATTGTAATATATACGTATTTTATTGCAAGTAAGAGATAAATGGGAGGACCCTTATTTGTAAAGGGTATAGGCAATGTGGAGCTGTCGTCATCATAAGGAGGTGAAGAAGCCCAGCTTTGCCCATAGGACCTCCCCACTGTTACCACTCTAAAAGGGACAGGGACATCAGGGAGAGGTGGCACTGAAGGTCCTCAGAACCAAACTTGCCCTCGGAAGGATAAATGATCACTACATCCTTTTATTTGTTATATAGTAATGAACAAATGAATTAAAATAAATATAATCAAGGATTATTAATATAACCAGTTTTCTGTTTTTGTTTTTGTTTTCTAAAGAGACAGGTTCTCACGCTGTCACCCATGCTGCAGTGCGGTGGCACTGTCATAGCTCACTGCAACCCGAAACTCCTGGGCTCAAGCATCTTCCCACCTCAGCCTCTGGGGTGGCTAGAATTACAGATGCAATTCATAAAATCAGGTTTTTTAAAACCACTCTATCTTATAAAAGACTTAAACTAGACCTATGGAGCACACAATAAATAATGAATGCTTTTAATATGTACAGAAGTCATATAAACTTTTTTTAAAAAGATTGACACTATAAACAGAAAACTAACAAAGGATATAAACTTAGTGATTTCCCTAAAAGAAATACAAATAACTAAGGAACAAGGGACTTCAGAGGGGGTCTGCCTTGTTATTTATACTTTTTAGTATCTTCTAAATCTTTATCATAAATGTGTACTACACTGATAATGATCAGAAAAAGGTTTATATAAAATGGATTTGCTGAAGTAGAACAGTGATAATGTAAAGGAGTTAAACTTAGCTGTAAGATCTGTAGATGGCTTCAGGCACTAGGTCCGAAAACACTGACTCCCGGGGAAATCCCTTTGGTAATGTATTTTCATGCCTTAATCTTAAATATGTGTGTATAAATGTGTGCACATAAAATCATGGTACTTATGGAACTAATCTCAATTTCAAACCATTCTTAATTTAACTGCATGTTCAGAATAATGTATGATGGTATGGATATAAAATCATCAAGGGATGACTTTGCTTTACTCATTTATCCAAGGCACATTCAGTGAGAGACTGAGAAGTGCTAGGACACAGCAACGAATGAGGCAAAGCCCTTATTATTCAGAAATGTGCAGGCTAAGTCACAATCAAATGCGATGGACACATGCTAAGATAGAGGAATTTACAAAGAGCTATGGAACACAGAGAAAGGGGCATCTAGTTATACAAGGTGTGGTGAGAGGGGGTTGTCTGAGAACGTTTCAAAGAGAAAGTGAGATAGAAGCAGCCAGGCGCAGGAGCTCATGCATGTAATCCCAGCACTTTGGGAGGCTGAGGCAGGCAGATCACTTGAGCTCAGGAGTTCGAGACCAGCCTGGGAACATGGAAACCCTGTCTCTACAAAAAAATTAGCTGGGTGTGGTAGTGCGTGTTTGTGGTCCCAGCTACCTGGGGGGCTGAGGTGGCAGGATCACTTGAGCGCAGGAGGTGGAGGCTGCAATAAGCCAAGATCGTACCACTGCACTCCAGCCTGGGTGACACAGCAAGAACCTGTCTTCTAAAAAAATAAAATTAAAATAAAAATCCACCTCCAATAATTTTTTTTTTTTTTTTGAGACAGAGATAGAAGCCGAATCTGCATAGGATGCACGGTACTTCATGAGACATTCCAGGTAAGGACACTAAGGTTGCTCCAGGTAGAAACTGAGGCATATAAAAACATAAGACAGCTCAGGATGATGATAATTATGATGATGGTGGTGGTGGTGGTGCTGGTGCTGGTACTGGTGGGGGTGACGGTAGCAGTTTACTAAGCACTTTGTGACAGAAACCATACTGTACGTATATTAAATCATTCAACTCTAACTACCTGTGTAGAAATAAGATACTGTTATTTCTGTCCTACAAATGAGGCACCTGGGAACAAAGACATTATATATAAATGCATGACATGTGAGTATAAAAGTCAGAATTCAACCTTGGGCAATCTGACTACAGAACTGACACTTTCAACCACGATACATACTGTTTCCAAAAGACAGTGACTTTTTTTTTTTTTTTTTTTTTTTTTTTGAGACGGAGTCTCACTCTGTCGCCCAGGCTGGAGTGCAGTGGCCGGATCTCAGCTCACTGCAAGCTCCGCCTCCCGGGTTTAAGCCATTCTCCCGCCTCAGCCTCCCGAGTAGCTGGGACTACAGGCGCCCGCCACCTCGCCCGGCTAGTTTTTTGTATTTTTTAGTAGAGAGGGGGTTTCACCGTGTTAGCCAGGATGGTCTCGATCTCCTGACCTCGTGATCCACCCGTCTCGGCCTCCCAAAGTGCTGGGATTACAGGCTTGAGCCACCGCGCCCGGCCAGTGACTTTCTTAAGAAATGGCAAGATGTTCAAGAAACTTTTGTTAAACAGTAGTCCAGGCACAGTGCCAGGTGCTGCAGATAAAAAGATGAGAGAAGCACAGGCCACAAGGACAGCCCCAGTGTAGCAGGAAAGACACAATATTTATACAATAATGTTACATATGTGATCTTGAATACAAAGGGAACAGTCACTGATTCTGTGTGGCCTTGGGAACAGGGAACACATCTCAGCAGAGTTTATCACAGATAAACAGTTTTATAAAACAAACTGAACCTCTCTGAGAATATTTGGAGATTAAAAAAATTTTTTTCAGGCATCCAGGGCAATATGTGAAGATATACAAAGGCACAATGAATGCAGGATAATTTCTAATATTATTATTGTGGTGCTGCTGTGGCAAAATAATAACAGAATTGACAGGATTTGATGGAAAAAATGAAGGTGAGTGAACTTATGAACTCACCTGGAGAGAAGATAAGGAAATCTCTAAAGACAGAACCACAAAGAGGGGAGCTACAGTGGTGATCCAGCAGTTAGGCCCAACAGTTTTCTGTAAAGCAGACAGTCTGTCTGACAGTTAGAAAGGCCAACTTGTTGAACCAAGATAAACACAACCAGGTGCATCTAGGAATGTGAGGCAGGAGGATAGAGGCAGACAGGAGAGTGTTCCCTGACTCAAAAGTTTTAAAAGTTAAAGACTGCATGTACATATCAAAATTATTCTCTACACTGACAGCATTTCACTTCAGAGCATCAAACATTGAATTACATAATGTCTTTATCTTCAAACTGCCAGAGTAATATTATATTTTTAAATGTAAGTACATTTACAAATAATTCTAACTAAGGTAGCAGGCGCAGCAGAAATATTTCAGACACATTGTTAGGTAAATAAGAAATACTGTACCTTTAGGTGATAATGAGGTTTTAGATAAATTTAAATGCTTTAATCCCTTCGGGAGTTTGGCAAATTGAATACTTAAAGAGGACACACCTGAGAAAGGAAAAAAGAGATTAGAATTTTCAAGTTCTCGGAATTGCATTTTCTACAATGAATGAAAATTAATTTTGATTCTGAATGAAGTGATCATATTTTTCTTTCTAATATCAGACTTTGTTTTCTAACCATTTACCATCAAGCCCCCTTTTCTTTCTGTCCTACCTACAGGGTAAGAGAAGGGGAAGATATCTTATTCGGCATACAACATCTGAAACTTTTCCATTGGAGATACTTTTCTTGGGGCCAAGTGTCACTCTTTTTCTCATAGTTCTAGTTAAAATGCAAATCCTCTTGGAAAGGATGTTAACTCCTTTTCTTTTTAACCTCTGTCTTAACGAGTTGATTGCTCTTCTAGATGAGCAGATGTATGCTATTTAATTATTGTCAAGAAGAATGGAGTAACATTAACTATTCTGATAACGGCAGATGGATTCCTATACTTAATTGGCTTACAGCTAACAACCTCATACAGAGCTTCGGAGCATGTTTTAACTTCTTAAAAGTAGATTTTGTAACTTTGGATAACTCACCAGGAATTTACAGTATTTAAAATCGGATATCTTCTAAATGTAATAACTAGAGTGGGAGATTGAGAACACCAGCTCACCCATCCAAGGACTGCAATGAGCATAGACTGTTTTCTGGGAGGAAATAAGTAATACACAAATGTATGTCCTTCATACAAGTCCTTCAACTGACCTCCTGCTGTAGATGAGCCATCATTTCCCCAGGGGCATGTTCTTCAGAAGGCTCCTAAAACAATGTTAATTCCTGCTCCCTTAGGCTAATTCTCAAGCTTCAGGCAGCAAGAAGAAATTACTGTGCTGGTTGCTGTCCTACTATATAACCCCAAATTATCTATAAATCTTATCACAACTTCTAAGAAACAACATGGAGGTCATGCAGCTAGAGTAAGCCTCTACATGGGCGTTTCCCCTAGAATAGTGGGTGTTCTGGGAGCCTCTATTTCCCCACTGTGTTTCCACAGTCAAAGAAGTTTGAAAATCACTGGATTAAATCACGTTAAACAGGGTTTTATCTGATTATTTCTAGAGACTTGAATATGCTAATCCATTTTGTAAATTACAAGAAGAGGGCAGCCTTGATATTTAGCTGATACACTCTTGTAAAAAAAAAAATAATAAGTGACTAACAAGTTGATGTAGGAAAGGGGAAAGACAGAATAACTGTTAAAACTTGATTAATCTAAAAGGCAAAAAAGTGAGGAAAAAAGGGGACAAATAAAAAAATGGACCAGCACTTTGGGAGGCCGAGGCACGCGGCTCACAAGGTCAGAAGATCGAGACCATCCTGGCTAACACGGTGAAACCTTGTCTCTACTAAAAATACAAAAAATTAGTTGGGCGTGGTGGTGGGCGCAGGTAGTCCCAGCTACTCGGGAGGCTGAGGCAGGAGAATTGCTTGAACCTGGGAGGCGGAGTTTGCAGTGAGCCAAGATCGTGCCACTGCACTCCAGCCTGGGTGACAGAGCAAGACTCTGTCTCAAAAAAAAAAAAAAAAGAAAAGGAAACAAATAGAAATACAACTTTTCACCCAAATATCTGAATGATTACATTAAACATAAATTTATTAAATATATTTAATTTACATTTGTATTATTTAAAAATATTATGTAAATATAAAGATTCAAATTACAAATCAAAGATGATTTACTTGAATAAAAATATCAAACGTTTTCAAGAGATACACCTAGAGATATATGTATTCAGAAGTGAAGTAAAAGAATGAAAAAAGAAATGCTACAAACACTAACCAAAAGAAATCTGATGTAGCTGCAATGAGACAATTTAAATTTTAAGAAGCATTACTAAAGATAAATGGAATATTTCATTAATTAAGAAGATACAATTACTCTAAATCTATGCTCTCATTAACATCATCTGAAAATATATAAAGTAAATCTGACAGTAACAAAAGGAAAATACATACATTATTACATAAACACACACATATATATAATAATAGAAGTTTTCCAACACACTTCTATTAGTAGCTAATAAATGAACAGAAAAAGTCAGTAAAGATATAGAGAACATCAAAAGCATAATGAAAAAAGATATAATTGATATATTTAAAATGCTGTACCCAGTAACTACAGAATACATGTCTTCAAAGCCCACACTGAATATTTTCCAAAAGGAATCAGATACCGAGCCATAAATTTAGCAAGTCTCAACAAATAATAGAATGTTCCTTAGTACTGTGAATTCATACACAGAATATTTGTACACTCTCTGTTACCACTACTGCAGTTAAAATACGAATTATAACAATAAGATAATTAGAAAATCCCCAAATAATTATAACATAAGCAATATATTTCTAAATAACAAAAGAGCCAAAAATCACAATGGGAATTTTAAAGATCTTTTGAGTTAAATCTAAAAACTATGGTATTAAAACTTTTGGGATCTAACTAGAGCCATGCCTAGAGATAAATCAATAGACCTAAATACATATTTTAAGAAAGATGAAAAACTGGAAAGTAATTATCTAATTATCTATCTCAAAAAATAGCCAATTAATCCTCACCCACCTCTGTAAACAGAAGGAAGGAAAAAAATAAGAAAAAGGGAAGAATCCAATTAAATAGATAGCATCCGTAAAAATAAGTAAATTTAACAAAGTTGGTTCTTTAAAAATACTAGCAAAATTAATAAACTCCAGCAAGACTGGTAAAATAAATAAATGAGAAAGAGATCAAATTATCAAAATCAAATCAAAAAAGAATGTAAAGATCTTACAGGCATTGAATTATAACTTGAGGGTATAAACAAATCTGTAAGTCAAAAAACTATCATTTTAATAGAAAGGAACAAATCCCTTATGAAAAACATGATAGACCAAAACTAATGTAAGAAGAAGTAAATAATCTCAATAGTTCGCTATCTATTCAAGGAAACAAATCTATTATTAAAAAATCTCTCCATAAAGAGAAGCAAAAGAAGCCAAACACAAAGGAGTACATAGGCAAAGAACAGGCAAAGCTCATCCATCATGAGAGAAGTCAGAATACTAGTTATCTTTTCCAAGTGGTAGAGGACAGGGCTGGTAATCACTGGGGCAAACCACAAGGTAAGTCTGGAGAATACTGGGAACATTCTGTCTCTTGATCTTGGTAGTGGCTTCTGGGAGAAACAAAAGGCCTCTTTTCTGTTAGAAAGCATACAGATTAGAACGTTGTAGATGTCAGAGCATAGGTGAGTAAAAATTTTTACAGTTGCACCCATTTCTATAGCTTTCCTGGAGAGTTCAGAAACGCTAAGAAAAGTAAGTGAAAAAGCAAAATACAATGAAGTATTTCCATTTCAAACATAAGACTGAGAGGAAAAGACTTGGAACCAAGAATATAAGAATATAGGGATATTGGAAAAAATTGAGTCAACACTTCTAACTTTTAAATGCCCTAAAATCTAAATCTATGCCTTTTTCTTTTTTTTCCCCCAAGATGGAGGCTCACTCTCGCCCAGGCTGGAGTGCAGAGGTGTGATCTCGGCTCACTGCAACCTCCTCCTCCAGGGTTCAAGGGATTCTCCTGCCTCAGCCTCCCGAGTAGCTGAGACTATAGGTGCGTGCCACCACGCCCAGCTAATTTTTTGTATATTTAGTAGAGACGGGGTTTCACCATGTTAGCCAGGATGGTCTCGATCTCCTGACCTCGTGATCCACCAACCTCGGCCTCCCAAAGTGCTAGGATTACAGGTGTGAGCCACCGTGCCCAGCCAATCTATGCCATTTTAAAAATATTGCTTTACCTGTTTAACCATGAAAATATCAATTATCTCATTTAATCCTTAGAACATTCTTATTTGGTAGGTACTATTATTTATATTTTTAATATAAGGAAGCTGAGGTATAGAGAAGGTAGGTAACTTGTCCAAGAACACTTAGCTAGAAAGTTGTGAAGCTCGGAATTAAACCCATGTGTTTCGACTCTGGGACTCACTGATATACACTGAGACATGAAAGATCTAAAACACCAAGAAAAATAAGCAGGAACCCTAGAATCTATAAGTCCCTTGTCTTATTTAGAAGATCAAATCAGAGCCACCACCAAATAGCTGGGAAAAAATATGAGCATATTTCAGGTCAACAAAAAACACTAGAGCTAGGATTCTAAATGGTGTCTAAATGAAATAATCGAATTTGGAATAAAGTGAGTGGAAGAGCCTGGGCAACATAGTGAGACCACATCACTACAAAAAACATTTAAAAATTAGCCAGCTGTGGCAGTGCACACCTGCAATCCCAGCTACTCGGGAGGCTGAGTGGGGAGGATGGCCTGAGCCCAGGAAATCGAGGTTGCAGTGAGCCATTATTGCACCATTATACTCCAGTCTGGGCAACAGAGTGAGACCTTGTCTCACCAAAAAAAAAAAAAAAAAAAAAAGGGGAGAAGAAGTGGGACAGACATTTCTGAAAAGGCTAAAATCATAAGAACTAAGGTAATTGGGACAGATAACTAGGAAAAACAGAACACAGAATTTGTAATGCTTAGAGAAGTAAAGCATAAATGTACATATATTAGTATTAGAAAACTAAAACCAAAGTTTCCCCTAAACAACGCACTCTGACATTTCTGTTCTATTCTACTGCTTTTTTTAAAAAAAATGCTTGTCATGAACTATTAAATTGATTTCACGGCCAGCTAAGGGGTCTTGACCCACAGTCTGAAAAAACACTGTGTTAGATGAAGACCAAGAGCAAGCTGGTGAACAGGCATGGCCTGGCAACAAGGATAAGAATAGCCTGTGTGTGTGTGGGCTGTTCACCATCTTGTGTGGCTCTTGCAGAAAGAGAACAGTAGGGCAACTAGCATTTGAAGGATTACTCATACACATTATACCTCTGCTTACTAAGTCATACTCGAACCTCCTTTACCACAACCCCCTCAGCAATCAGAAGACTACAGGCCTGGTCCTCTATACATAGATGTGAAAATAACAGTTTTGCTGCATCAACATTCATACCATACAACTCTTGGAGAGTTTCCAAATAAGTTCCTGAATGGAAGGTTTAGGTACAAAACCACATTCCATTTGCTGTGTAAATTCCTCAGAATTCTTGGCCACTTAACTGTTAAGACCTTATCTCTTTTTTTTTTTTTTTTTTTTGAGACAGAATCTCTCTCTGTCACCAGGCTGGAGTGCAGTGGCACAATCTCAGCTTACTGCAACCTCCGACTCCCTGATTCAAGCGATTCTCCTGCCTCAGTCTCTCGGGTAGCTGGGATTACAGGCACATACCACCACACCCAGCCAATTTTTGTATTTTTAGTAGAGATGGGGTTTCACCATGTTGACCAGGATGGACTCAATCTCCTGACCTCATGATCCCCTCGCCTCAGCCTCCCAAAGTGCTGGGATTACAAGCATGAGCCACCGTACCCAGCCCCTTGTATTTCTTTGAGCTTCCTTACAAATAATAGTCCTGGCTTAGTCTTTTTTATATTCTGTATAACTTAATTACAGACTCCTCCTTCACCCTTTTTATTACTTTCAAACACAAAATACCATCACTGAAAACCTTGGGAACAAAAATTACTAAAAGTTTTCTCTAGATTGAAATTTCAGTAAATATTTTACACTCATTTAGATTTCTTGTGGAATTTCTATCCATGAGCAGAAAAGTTACCAATCCTTCAGGTAGTTAGCCTGAATGAAAAGAATAAAGAATTTGTGTTCAGGAGGCTCATCCTGAAGAGTAAAGAAAGATGGGAGATACGAATGTTGGCAGTTGTCTGTGAGCACTGGCAAATACAGCAATGAATGAATTTAGAAGGGGCAGAAATGAGAAAAGTCTTGGTCTGCGAAAATATTTTCAGGATGTTAAAATTTGAAGGTATATGAGCAGAAACCACACTACAGACTTGGCAGGAATATTCAAGGCTATCCTTGGAATGATTCATGATGACAGCACTGGTGAATGGGCTGCAGCTAGATAAAAAGACACAGGTCTCAGAAATAGGAAAGCAGAGGGAAAAAGTAGGCAAACATCATCTTTGAACACATGGTCTGACTCTATACAAAAGAAATCTCTCAAACTTCACCATAATTTTCAAGTGCAAATAAAAAAAACTATACAAGAGAATTAAGATTGAATACAATCAAATAAACCAAATTCAATTTAAAGAAAATATCTGTTGATTGTGGACCAAGTCTTACACTAGATGCTTTGCATCTTAGGAAACAAGGAAGGGGAGACAGAAAACCCAGAAAGTGGGGATGAGAGGAAGCAAGGTGCTGAAGCATGGGGAAAGAAATGTCCACCTCTAGTTCTCATGTGAGCAGAGTGAAGTAAGTGCTATTACGGAATTTTACATGGGAGCTCCAAAGTGAGGGCAAGACAAAGTAAACTGCACCTGCTGTGACAAGTTGTCCAATGTGGCTGCACCTCAGAGAACATGAAGTGGACAACGGGAGAGAAAACAAAGGGCCTCAAATTCATTCTTCCTCTTCCATCTCCCCAAACAATGTGTGGTATTTTAGGTCTGGCTTCTTTCACTTAACAGTGTTTTTGAGGTTCATCCATGATGTGGCATGTGTCAGAATTCCATTCTCTTTTGAGTAGTATTCCAATGCACATATTATATACACCATATCTTATGTAAACACTCTCCAGTGATGAACATCTGGTATGTTTCTACTTTTTGGCTATTATAACTAATACTGCTACAAACATTCATTCACAAGTCTCTGTGTGGACATAAGTCTCCTTTCACTTGGGTGATACACCTAGGAGTAGAATTGCTGGGTTATATGGCAGGTTTGAGTTTAACTTTTTAAGAAACTGTCTAGCGTGTTTTGCATGTGGCTGCACCATTTTACACTCGCACCAGCAATGTAGGAGTTTCCATCTCTTCACATCCTTTCGAAGACTTATTTTGATTATTGCCACACTACTGCTTTTGAAATGGTACCTCACTGTGGTTGTAATTTGCATTTCTCTAAACACTGAGAAGTGTCCCCATCCTGATCCATCTGAACTCTGGATTTCATTTGCTTAAGAACCTTCCTCAAACAACTACCTCCCTCTACAGATTTTTTCCTGTATGTTGATAAATATGACTGAGTCCCTCCCATCTTAAAAACAAAACCAAAAATAGCCCTTCTGTCTATAAAACAGTGATCACCATGATTTCTACTTTGTCACATTCACCTCTCTGTAGTATCTAATAGAGAAACATTTGTTTTTCCTAAGAATTGAGTATACCCTAGAGAAACTCCTATTCCAGTACTACGCATCCATTAATTTCAGCTTTGGCTTATTCTATGAGGGTACTTTTTGCGTGATCTAGCTTTCTAATTCAGTCTCGACCTTCCTGTAGATTCACTACTTTAGATGATGACAAGTTACCCTGGAGATTTTTGCTTGAATACAACCTAGGTATCTTTGTCAGCACCAAACAATGACCATATTAAGGACAAAAAGAAAAACTGAACATCTATATCAGTATCTTCAGCTCAGTTTAATAATTAATACTCTTCAAATATAACATTGAAAGGTGAAAGGCCGTATTCAACAACCTGGAAAACATCTGCAACAGAAAATGAAAACAAAATAGTCCCACTAGAGATAAACCAATTCCTTCTTAAACCTTGTCCATCAGTGTTCCACTAAGAATTCAAATTCTCGAGTTTCCCTTTCTAAACTTACTGACTCCTCTCTCTACACATCCACTTTTAATAAAACATTCTGACTCTTCGTGAACTCTAGTCCTTCATCCTTTCCCTATTCTCACACTCAAATCTTGTTAAATATTAAAATATAATAGTGGTAAAGAGAAATCTAAGATAGTCCCCAAGATTCTCACCCCCTGGTGTATACGCCCTGTGCAAATTTCCTTGAATATGGGGGTGGGGAGCAGTAAATATACTGTTGACTCTTGAACAACATGGGTTTGAACTGCACTGGTCCACTTCTGTGTGGATTTTTCTCCACCTCTGCCACTGCGGACACAGCAAGATTAAGGCCTCCTTTTCTTCCTCCTCCTCCTCAGCCTAGTCAATGTGAAGATGACCAAGATAAAGACCTTTATGATGATCTACTTCCGCTTAACAAATAGGAAATATATTTTCTCTTTCTTATGATTTTATTAATAAAATTTTATTTTATTTGGCTTAAAGAATACTATATAATACATATAACACACAAATTACACATTAGTCAACTTTTTATTGGCAAGGCTTCCAGTCAACAGTGCTATTAGCAGTTAAGTTTTGAGGGAGTCAAAAGTTACATGTGGATTTTTGATGGCTTATGGTCAGTGATTCTCACTCTTGAGTTGTTCAAGGGTCAACAGTAATGAGACATCCCTACCACGATTAGGTTACTAATCACTTGACTTTGAGTTCATGAAAAACAGGGAAATTGTCATAGGTGGGTCTGATCCAGTCAGGTGAACTGTTTAAAAGAAACTAAAGCATCAGAGAGATGTGCTCCAGCTAGCCTCACACACAAAGCAGACTGCTATGTTGTGAGATAAGGGGGTCACATGACAAGAACGCTTCTAGGAGCACGGCCTCTAGGAGCTGCGAGTGGTGCCCACTGGCAGCTAGCAAGAAACTGGGGACCTCGAGCCTATAGCTCCAAGGAAATTAATTCCACCAACAACCAGTGAACTTAAGGAGGACTCCAGGTCACAGATGAGAGCACAACCCCTGCTGACAACTTGCTTTGTCTTGAGAGACCCAGAGCACACAACCCAGCTAACCCGTACCCAGACTCCTGAGCCAAGACACTATGAGATAATAAATTGGTATCATTTTAAGCTGCCAAGCATGTGGTAATTTGTTATGCAGGACTATATAACTAATAAAATACATTAAAAATAATATCTTCCTTTCCTTTTGTTTCACTTCAAAAAAAGCTAAGCAGATCATACAATTTTAACATAAGTATTTACATGAAAGGGTGGAAAGAACTGGAAGCCAACAGGACAATCAACAGCACTTATAATTACAACTTAGCTTGATACAGCTCTTCAGGCATGGCTAAATTAAAATTCTCTAATCCTCTTACAATTCTGGCATCAATGATAATGAGAACCCCGCAGTACCTCTATCCTCCAGTGGGTTGCCAGCAAGGTTAATTGTGTGGAGTCCTGAGTTGGGATTATGCGCTAGAGCACTGGCCAGTTTTTGTGCAAAATCTCTGCATGTAAACAAAACAATAAGATTAAGCAACAAAATGTAAAATGTAAAACCAAATGTAAAACCATTCGAATGGAACATTTAAAGCTTAGAACAGAGTGAAATCTAAATAGAGAAACTTCTCTTACGATATTAGTCTATATAGCATATATTTCTTAATACCCATTAATACCTCATTAGAAAATTTGTAAAGCCACAGCCAGAAAATGGTTCATTCTGATTGGCCAAAAGCGAAAAGAAAATACATAATTGCCCCTTTTAAGGCACTCTGTTGTATGCTATTAATAGTACTTTCTGGCCCCTCCATAATTTAAAAAAAAAAAAAATCCTGGATCGAACCTGCTTTTCATGAAAATTATAGTATTTACCATATCTTATTTCTCATTTCATGCAACTGTGAATGCAAAACTGATTACACTAATTATTAAGTTTAAAGGTTACAATTGCTAGCGCTACATTTTGGCAAAAATTAAAACCATTGTTTTAGTTATGTTTAACTTGAAATAATGTACTAAGTGCTATGATTATGAAACTGTCAACCATCCTCATTTAGCAGCAGTGAAATCTTTATTCTACTAGATTCTAACTCTTATGCTCTTAACAGTAGGCTTAGGTAGTGACTACTAAACCACTAGATAAAGACTATGCAAGCATTAACCTGAGAAAGAAAAAAATGACTAAAACTGATCAAAGCAAAGCAGTAAAGTCATATGAAATACGTTATCACTATGACCACCAGTAATGATAATAAAACCTACATATACCATCTACAGAGTAAAAGGCACTTTGTCAAATACTTTAAATATATTAATTCATTTACCCTTGCAATTTTAATTGTATAAAATAGGCATTATTATTAACCCCATTTTAAGAGTGAAGAGAATGAGGCACAGAAAGCTTAAGCAACTTCTGCAAGGCCATGAGAAATCTGGCTCAAGGATCCATGCTCTTAAAAACGATACTATGTACTCGCAAAAATATCAAGTGACACCATATCAAGAGATGTTACCAAATTATTAGGCTTCATGATGATGGGAATTATATGGATTTTTTTTTTCCAGAAGGAAAAACATTGCTGTATATGTGATCAGCCCAATTTAAAAACAAAACAAAACAAAACAAAAAAAACACACAAAAAAACTATGAATTAATTAGAAGAGCAAATGGCACAGAGTTTTAAAACAACATATTTATAGATTCAGGAAAATACTCACGTTCTAAGTCCAGCATTTTCCAACACCAATTCTTCCAGTCGATTGGACCTACTCACCACCCTCAAGATCTGTTCACAGACATCAGTGGACTGTAACAGAAAACATTCTTTGACTACTCCATAACTCTAAAGAAGAAAAACTTTATTGTTATAAATCTATGCAATGCAAAGTTTTAATTAAGTAAAACATCACTCATTCAACAAACCTTGAATGAGCATCTTCTACTATGCACCATCGTGATGAAGATCCTGGAAACACAATGTTATAAAGGAGAAAGTCCCTGCCTTCAAGAGTGTGCCATCCAGCAGGGTAAACAGACAAGAAGAACACTACGGTCAGAGTTTGTGTCCCCCCTCCCAAAATTCATAGTTAAAAACCTAATCCCCACTGTGATAGCGTTAGCAATTAGGTGCCTTTGGGAACTGACTAGGTCATGGTGGTGGGGCCTTCATGAAGGAATTAGTGCTTTCATAGAAGAGGCCCCAGAGAGCTATCTTGCCCCTTCCACCTAGTAAAGACACAGCTAAAAGGCACCACCTGTGAACAACAAAGTGTGCTCTCACTAGACACCAAGTCTACTGGAGCCTTGATCTTGGACTTCTCTGCCTCCAGAACTGGGAAATAAACCTGTTGTTTATAAGCTACCTAATGTATGGTATTTTGTTATAGCAACCTGAATGAAATAAGATAAAAATATACAATTATGATAAAATAATAAAAAGACCATTTTGGTAGTGCTATGCATACATATAAGTGCACCTAATCCAGGTTCACAAAACCAAGAGGACTTCCCAAAGAAGGTGACGTTCAAAATGGAGAACTGAAGACTAAATGTTAGTGATGATGATAATGATGTTGAAAATATCTTTGGCTGAGTTCTCACCATGTGTCAGGCACTGAGTTAAGTCCTCTATGTGTATTTCATTATAAAACCATTAAAGATTATTATTCCATTTTCATAGATAAGAAAATTAAGGTTTAAAGATGTCATAAACTTAAACAGGAAGGCTAAATAAGTACTTGATGAATGCTAGCTGGTATTAGGATGTTCCTACTGGAATGTAAGTAGGATAAAATGGGAAACAACCTAATAATATGAAAAAGTTTAATAAATAATAGTCTCATGTTAATAAACATGTTTTCAAAACAACCATTATATAGTTGTATAACTATTATGCCTATATGTTAAACAAGATTACAACAATTAAAATGAGTAATATGTAACAACATTTTGAGAGGACTATGAAAAATGAAGAGTTGTGCCCTGGTGGTAGAATTGTGCATATTTTTAAAAAATATTTATTAATGTTTTTATATTTATAACCTGCCTCATTCCAAAACTAATTTAAAGTGGTTCTTGACCTTAATATTACTTATACATTAAAAAGTCATTTTGGCTTATGTCTGTAATCCCAGAACTTTGGGAAACTGAAGAAGGCAGATTACTTGAGCTCAAGAGTTCAAGACTAGCTTTGGGAACATGGTGAAATTTCATGTCTACAAAATATACAAAAAGTAGCGGGGTGCGTCCCAGACTGCACGCGCCTGCAGTCCCAGCTACTCAGGAGACTAAGGTGGGAGGATCGCTTGAGTCCAGGATGTTGAGGCTGCAGTGAGCCGTCATCGCACCACTGCATCCCAGCCTGGGCCACAGAGTGAGACCCTGTTTCACACGTGCACACACACACATACACACACACACAAAGTGATTTTAAAATTCTCCTTGCAACCTAGCGTGTACTAAATACTTCATGATATTAAAAAAGAAAGAGTGAGAGAAAGAAGGCATGTTCTGTGTGCCATAGCATACAATATCAAAGCACTTTCTTTTCATAAAATATCACATAAAAATATTACAGTACTTTGACTTATCATATAACAAATACCCAACTGGATTAATCATAACTGGAACACAGTCTGAAGGTGGCACAAGTTCTCAAGTATTTTTAAGAAAACCTAACTTAGAAACACCCCAAGTCCCACAGCATGTAAGGCTCTCATAATTCTTATTTGCTGTTTGATTCCATTCTGTCAATAATGCCACTTTCACACTATTCCTGGGTTTCCAATGTGTCCCACTGATTAAGGAAGAAAGAGAAAAATTAATTCCAATTGACCTGATGCCTGCAATTTACATTATGCTGACAGTGATGATATTCAAAATGGTGACCCCCTTATCAGTACAATTCTTTATCTCACAATGTACATACAAGGGACTTATTCTGTGCTGTCATGATAAAAAGTGACTACTTAGATAATGTTTTTGCGGATATTATCCTAATTACCAGAAATAATTCTTGGGATCATTACCATTTCTGGGCTACCTTGCAGTGCACCCAGAAAAGTAATTTACCATAATGCTTTGAAGATTTACAGCCCATTGGGGTATAAATACCATAACACAAATTTATTAAGGAAAATGTATGAAAGTGTCTCCAACTTTTCTTTAAAATGCCAGTAGGGGAGATGTATAACAAATCATTCATGACTAAATTAATTCTACTAATTTTTATTGAGTGCCAGGTACATTAAAAGCATCATTTTCTACAGGGATGAATATAAGGAAATGAAACTTTTAAAGGGAGACACACTCAAACCTAGCTACTAAGTACAATGTGATAATTCCAGTAGTATTTTCCAAATGTCTACAGCATGTGCAGAACTATGTGCATCAATTTAGGAAATTTTTTAAAAACTGGATACAGTGACTCTCCAGGAGCTTGCATTCAGTTAAAAAATGAATGTAAACAACAAAAACTAGAATCACTATAGAGTAATAAATGAACTATTGCAAAATAAATTAATTTTTTAAAACTGGAACTTTAGAACTGAAAGAAACCATATACATTATCTCGTCCCGCCATGTCATTCCCTAAAGACTAAAAAAAGATGTGATGATGCTCACCAATTTGCCTGAGCTGCAAAACAGAAGAAGCTGAGCAAGACTCCAATTCTACTATTTTTTTAATGAGTCTAGAATGTTGGCCAAAAACGTGGTCCTAATTGCATATTCAGTACCATTTTTTAAAAAAATCCTTGACTCAAATTAGAAATACTGATTGCTAATTTGCTTCATAAGATCAACATAAAGTCATATTTTTCTTGTGGCACCTTAGCACAGGAGGCTTTTATGGGACTAGTAACAATCTTAACCCAGAGAGCTCATATAACTTGAGAAGCAGTCACTTATTTTTGCCCTTGCACTTCATGTTTACAAAAATCCAAAGACGTGCTTCTTCATATTGTCCTTTTCTTTGAATAAACCCAATGTTACACAGTGCTCCGAGACTGCCCACTTCAGTACCCATCAAAAGAGAAAGTATCATTTCAACTTTGGGTAAAAAACATGAAGAATTTAGTATTCTTTTTGAAGACCTGTAGAGTAATATCCACAAAGATCACTTCATTTTAAAATACCAAATATTAAAAATATATGCAACCTGTATTTTTGTGTTTAAATCTCAGTTAATAGAAAAGCAGCATGAGCAGTCCTCACATCCTGTCACTCCACTTCCTTCCATCCCAGGACACTTAAGAAAGCATAATAGCATTTACCTGCTTTGTTTTGCCAGGACTGAAATGATTAGGTGCATATTTTATGTCCTAAACATCTAAGGCAGCTGAAAGGAGATGATACCTGGGAGGAATAATGACAGAATGGCAGCAGCAATTGTCTGGACACCTTCCTGTAATTGCAGGTTGGGACAATCTCCAAAAGCGAGATATCCACAACCTTCCTGAAACCCTCCTGAGGCCCCATTTTGAAATTCACAAGCTTATGTAAATGATTGAATGAGCCAGAAAAACTGACATGGTAGCAAACTATTGTTCTCTCTGATCCCACAACCCCTGGACTAATCCCCTTCTCATTCCTCCAATGGCTCCCCTTTCCCACCTGTACTCTTTGCTGGCTCAGGCCTGGAAATGGTCCCATCCCAGCAAGCAGCAAACAAGGGACATCTATTCTTAGGTCTCCCATCATGGCTACCTGTCTGCTCCCTGAGGGCTCACCTGGCTCCAACTCATGCCAACCCTCACTCCATCATCACTGCTCAGACACAACTCTTGTTTGAATTATATAGTTCACATAATTCATACTCTCATATATGTTCATTTCTCAATCTCTTTGATAACTTATTAGACATATACTTATTAAACCAATTTTTATTAAATAGTTACTATGAGTCACACACTCTCATAAGTACTGGATAGAGATGAGTAAGAAATGGTTCCAACTAGCTCACAATAACAGGTATGCAGGAAGCTGAGGCCCTGGAAGGTCAGGTAAGTTATCTAAGGTAACACAGCCTTATAATAAAAATCAGAATCTGAAATCCAGGTTTCTCATTCCAAGTCCAAGCATTTTCCTCTACCATATTGGCTCTTAAGGGACCCCAAATGAGTTTAGTCCATTTTCTTACATACAACGTTTTAGGCCACCCCTACCCCAAGCAAATTCAGGGAACCAAGTCGCCTGCCCACTAGCCAGTCTCAACCCTCCATGTCCTACAGATCCATGTCTTACTACAAGTCTGATGTATTCACTATGAAAATCTTAAACCCCCAGATCCTATGACCTCTGAAAGTTAGAGACTTAAACATGAGAGTCTCCAGGAAAACATACAAATTCTTTCTTATCCCATAACAAACACCAGAGAGTTAATTTATGGATAAGCATCCGTCCATATGACTGATATGAACTGGCAACAACCCGAAGACAGCATCTTATTTCCACTAATAAAATACACCAAATATTTTTCTCCTTCGTACCTTATGAAAACAGATTTCACTTTAATTTAATTTTGCTTTCATATAAATCTACCCAAAACCCATCTAGAAAATCAACATTAACTATCATTACTCGACCAGGGGAACTCTACCTGCTAATGTTTTCCTAAATTCTTAGGAAGGGAAACTTTGTAGACACAGAGTGTAAGATAGGAATATAAAATCTGCTATTTGCAGCTGTGCAAACTAACTTTAACAGTTTTTGTCAACTGAATGGTTTGTACTAAAGGCTACACTAAATGTATCTTTTTGTTCATCTTCTTAAATTGCCTGAAACAGCTGAATACATGAGGAAATACTTGGAAGCATCTCACATCACAAATTTTACTAAACGTTATGCAAATCATTTAAAGGAAAATATCTCCTCAAGAAATAAAATGTATATAGTTTACCAGTACAGTAAAATTTTTTTTTTTTTTTTTTACAATTATTGGGTTTTTGAAATTCAGCAAAGCCAAGCAACATTTGCTGCATGTTTGATTACTTACCAGTTTTAGATCCTTAGAGGACAGCTTTGTGAACCACTGATTATATTCCAGAGCAGCAATGATAGGTATTAAGTCCCTGGAAACAGAAACAAAGTACATGAAAGTGCTCCTATAGTAGCTACACTGACACTTAATTTTTAATCCATGACATCCAAGTTCACCTGTTAATTTCTATTGTTCACAGATACATCTAGTAGGCCATGAGACAACAACTAAGTTCTCAAAGACTGATCTTCAAAGTTCCCAAAAGTTAAAGTAAATTGTCTCCAGGGACTCTTTCCTACTTGCAAAGGAAAAGAGGCTGGTATTAGAATTTGCTGGAAGAACCTCCTTGATCTGAGAGATATCTTACCTCTAAGTCCATACCAATAACAAGTCTTACTTCTTTAGACCTCTCCTTCATAAAATCTTTTTTTTTTTTTTTAGACAGGGTCTCACTTTGTCACCCAAGGTGGAGTGCAGTGACATGGATCATGGCTCACTGCAGCCTTGACTTCCCAAACTCAGGTGATTCTCCCACCTCAGCCTCTCAAGTAGCTGGGGCTACAGGCACGTGCCCCCACGCCTGGCTAATTTTTGTACAGATGGAGTTTCCCCATGTTCCTCAGGCTAGTCTCAAACTCTTGGGCTCAAAGCAATCCACCCACTTTGGCCCTCACCCAAAGTGCTGGGATTGCAGGTGTAAGCCACAGTGCCTGGCCTCCTTCATAAATTCTTTAACCATCAATTATCTCATATAGTATTCTCTAGTCAGAGGAGTTCATATTGCAAGCGAGATACTGCCTACCCTGACAGTAAGTGGCACTGGATGGATGCCCAATGCTTAGCAAGCATTTTGCAACCATTTGGTCTTTTTTTTAGTTCCTACTAGTGATTACATCCATAAGATAGCCCAGGTGCATTTTTGTCTTAGGCTTCATATCAGCTCTTCGACCACAGAGTGAAGCTATCTGCATGACAGTTCTGCCTCCATTCCAATTTTGCAGCCTAAGCTCCCATAACTCATCCCATGCTCAAGACAAAAAGCTGACAACTCATTACTCATCTAATATGATGTGCAATTTCACATTCAGAATAATCTTTTACTGCTCTGTTATGAAAATTTGTGTGTCCTTAAATGCCACTACTATCACACATCCTCACCTCCTTAAGTCCTCCCCTGGTCAAACCCCACCTCCCTTTTTAGCATTTATTTACTCTATCTTATATTTTGTTGCTTTAAGCATCCTTACCACCCCCAATTATTAAGTTCTTTGAAAACCAAGCCTTTGTCTACTTCAGTTTTTTAGCTTTAGTGAGGTAATAGCAGTTTTATACTCAGTGCAGGACAAGTAGCAGATACTCAAATTTTTACTGAAATAGAAAAGAAAGGCAGAAGGTGGAAAGAGGTCTGAGAATCAATATTATCTCATCGCTCTGGGTGTCGGCCCTGTGCTTGGCACTCTACATAGGCCAGTTCGTTTAAATCTCAAAATAACCCCAGGAGTTACTGTTGTTTACATCTTATAGATGAAGGAACAGATGCTCAGAAAATAAAGTGAAACTAGGCCAAAGGGACAGAATTGCAGTCAGAACCCTGGCTCTGAAGCACCACGTGTCTGCAGTTTCAATCGACATGCTTTAAAAAGATGAGATGAGTACCCACAGGTAGTAGAAAAAAAAAAAAATCCAGAGAAATAGGTAGGCTCAGTCATGTGTTTCCACATGCCAGGTTTTCTACTGACAAGCCTCTTTACTAACTTTGCCTAAGTTTAAATTTTTTTTTAAGTTTTAGATTAAAAAGCAGAACAACACTTTCAATAGTTATTTTACGGTCTTCACTCGCCTCGTGCCCCTCCACTGACATGCTCTCTGGGCTCAGAACAAGGCCCTGTATCTCTCCCTGTTGCCTAATTACAGGTTGTAGCTTCTCTAATGGTGATTCCACCTTATTACAGAGTCCCCAAAGCCCACGCTGAGAGTTCTCATGTATATTTCAACATTCAGAACTACGGCAAAGCAGTCTCATCGCATCTTTTTTGTGGATTTAATGTCCAGGAGTGACCACACTTGGGAACCACTTTTTTGTGTAGTCTGTTCTGTCACATGATCTGATTTGAAGCATAACTGGCTTTTGTCATAGATGAAGTCATTTTCAGGAATTGAAGGGCACATCATTTCACAGAATCATGAAGGCAGTGGGTAAAACAGCATTATCTCTACATACGACAATACTTAACACTAAAAATGCTTATTGTTCAATATTAAATTTTTAAGGTATAGAGCATTCTAAAGTGTACATTTGTGTGATATAATCAAGAATTGGGATTAATAAAATCTACATATAAAAAAGATACAAATGCTAACAAATATAGACTTAAGAAAGAAATACAACCAAACGTCATCAGGATACCGTGTTAGCATTAAAGGTGATACTAATTTCTTCTAACAAAATTATTATGTTTTAAAATTGCTCTATGATTCATATGCATAATCTATTTTACAAAATTAAATCGTCTATGGATGATATAAACAAAATTTTGCTCTAGAAAAAATTATTCATGAGGAGGATGGAGACTAAGTATATTGGCATGGTTTGCCTACCATGTTTCTCTAAATTGTGTTAATGCCTAGGCTTTTTATGCTAAAAAACAACTAGAAGGAGACAATCACATATTATATTCAGTAGATATTTATTTAGTCCTTAGTACTAGGCAGGGTTATTAGGCTCTGAGAGCTAAGAGATGAAAAAGAAGCATAGCTCTTATTCCTGTATCACACTCCAGTGGTAAAGAAAAACTCCTACTCAACTATCTGTAATACAATAGGAGATGTGCTGAATAGGGAAAATGTTAAAAAACAAACAAACAAAAAGCCCTAAGAGCACAGTAGGACAGCAAGTAATTCAGCCTGAAGTAAATGGGGAATGGTTCACCGGCTTCAAAGATCAGAAGGAAACCAACCAGCCAGGGAGACAGAGTATTTTAAGAAATTAGGAATAGCATATACAATGGCATGGGAACCTGAGCATATCCAGCAATTCCATCCATTCTTATGTTCAACAAATGCCAGCCATCGTGCATGAATCACTGGGCCTGATGCAGAAATGAACACAGAAAATGGTCCCTGCCCTGTAAGACTGATGGCCTGGCAGAGCCTAGCAGGAGACTCAGGAAGGAAAAAGCAGCCATAATACAGTGAAACAAGCCCTAGTGAGGTAGGGGGAATACAAAATACTATGTGTGCAAATAAAAGGGGTGCTAATCAAGACAACCAAGTTGAGAAAGAGGATGTTACTGAGCCCTCAGAGTGGGATGAGACACATATTCTAAGCAGAAGAAATGGGCAACAAAGTCAGGTATGGCTTAGTCTAAGAGTTTTTAGAGCTCCGAAAAGCACAATATGAAAATAAAAAAAAATTGATAAACTGGACTTTATTCAACATTAAAAACTTCTGCTCTATAAAAGATGTTAAAAGAAGAAAAAGATAAGCCACATGCTGACAGAAACTATTTACAAATCCCATTTCTGAAAAAAGAATTGCATCCAAAATGCATAAAGAACTATCAAAAATAAAAAACAATCACCTCAGTTTTTTTAAACGGGCAGAAGATCTAAACAGACACTTCACTAAATAAGATATATATACAGCAAATAAGCACATGAATGGATGCTCACAGTTTTTAGCCATTAGAAAAATGCATTAAGGAAAAACCAAAAAGTGATGCGCGGTTTAAAAAAGAGAAAAAAAAGTTTTTAAAAAACCTGACACTACCAGTTGCTAATAAGGACCCAGAGCAACTGGAACTCTCAAATGTGGCCGATGAGGATGCGAAATGATACACTCAATGGAGAAAACAGTTTGACAGAATCTTATTTAGGTTTAACAGATATTTGACATCTGATCCAGCAATCCCATTTCTAGGAAATTACCCAAGGAAAATCAAAATTTATGTTCACATAAAAATGTAGACAATTATTTATTTTTAAGAGCTATGTTCATAATTACCAGAAACTAAGAACAATACGGATGTCCTTCAAACTACAGGACTGTCAAGGCTAGATTAGAAGAGGTAATAATACAGCTCTATCCAGCTCCCTCTCATGGCAAGCTCACCCATGGAACGCAGCGCTGCCTTGCAGCAGACAGCCAGCATCGAGCACCAAATGAGGAACGCTTCATTGTGACTCCTGACTGTTCTTGCTGTGGCCATTAAGTTTGAGGGGCTTTGTTACATAGCAATAGATAACCAGAACACTTAGCACCTAGAAATGAGGCTTGAAAGCTACAGTTAGGAGGCTTGACTGCATGCATGCAAGGCAGTCATAGAAAACTTTTGAACAGAAATGTTTCAGAAAGTTAATTTCTGCAACATCAGTGGGAGTTATCAGAGGCAAGGTAACAGTCTCCACAATGCAGACATGATGTATCAGAGATATAGCAGGAGTCTAAGGCAGAAGGTGGGTGTGGGTTCAGAGGCTAGAACAAGGACCAAGGCAAAATAGTAATTTTTTCCAAATTGATTTATAGATGCAAGTAATGTAATGCCAATCAAAATAGGTATACTTTTGTGATAAAACTATAAAGGAACACAAAGATTACCGGAACCATTATTATAACTGGGCAGGGCAGGTGGAGAAGGAGGGAACCGTGATTGAAAATTGATATATGTAAGTCTTTTAAGGAGAGGTAGTAGCCTATTTCTTGCGTTAAATGGTGGACATAGTAGTTAAATTTACAAAGATTTCCATCTTGGTATATATCTGCATACTTTTCTCTAAGGAGACAAGTACAAGGATGGCCTTAGCAGCATTACAGATAACAGACAATACACTAACCAAAATGTCTGACAAACATTCAGCAGAATGGATAAATTATGGAATGTTCATACATTAGAATACAAAATAGAAACAAAAGTTAATACATTATAGCTACACATACCAACATGTAAAACCTCAATTTCTTAGATACTTAATACCTCTCAGCCTGGCCGCAACATGCTGAGAATGAGGAGCTTACAGTGTAAGACCAAGTGCCCAGGAAGTACTTCAGCAAACGCTTTATGTAAGAGGCAAGGTCTAGTCTAGAGAGACATT